CGAGATTCCTACCGCTGAATATCTCATTTCGGAGGCTGACAGACTGATGAACGATATTCTCGATGCTCTAGAGATTGTAGGCAACAACAACTCTGATCTTAACCACATCTTCATCAATTTCTCGCCAGTCTTCCCGCTTATCCCAGAAGAGGTCGAGGAGGCCCTTGCTGGTTTCTTGGAGCGATTTGGTCGCAGGTCGTGGCGCCTCCGCGTCACAGGCGCTGAGATTCGCATCATCTGCACCGACCCCGTCACTGGCATGCCTTATCCTCTTCGTGTTGTTATTACCAACACTTCCGGATACGTTATCCAGGTTGAGATGTACCTTGAGCGCAAGTCTGAGAAGGGCAGCGAGTGGGTGTTCCAGAGCATTGGTGGCACGACCAAGATCGGCTCCATGCACTTGCGTCCAGTTTCTACGCCATATCCCACCAAGGAGTGGCTCCAGCCCAAGAGATACAAGGCCCATCTGATGGGTACTCAGTACGTCTACGATTTCCCGGAGCTCTTCAGACAGGCTATCCAGAACAACTGGGCCAAGGCTGTCGGCGAGCACTCCCTGTTGGCGGAGAAGCAACCTCAAGTTGGTGATTGCATTGACTACAGCGAGTTGGTTCTTGATGACCATGACGATCTCGCCGAGGTTTCTCGCGAGCCAGGTACCAATACCCATGGTATGGTTGGATGGATCGTGACCGCACGAACTCCCGAGTACCCCAAGGGCCGTAGGTTCATCATCGTCGCCAACGATATCACCTTCAGAATCGGTTCCTTCGGTCCTAAGGAAGATCACTTCTTCAACAAGTGCACTGAGCTCGCACGTAAGCTCGGAATTCCCCGCATCTACCTTTCTGCCAACTCTGGCGCTCGCATCGGCATGGCTGACGAGCTTATCCCACATTTCAATGTTGCGTGGAAGGACGCCGACAGGCCAGAGGCCGGCTTCAAGTACCTGTACTTGAACTCCGAGGCCAAGGCTAGATTCGAGGATGGCAAGTCAAAGGATGTCATCACCGAGGAGATTGTTGAGGATGGCGAGACGAGGCACAAGATCACCACCATCATCGGTGCCGAGGATGGCCTTGGAGTTGAGTGCTTGAAGGGCTCTGGTCTGATTGCCGGTGCTACAAGCAGAGCCTATGAAGATATCTTCACCATCACCTTAGTTACCTGCCGCTCTGTTGGTATCGGTGCTTACCTTGTTCGCCTCGGTCAGCGTGCTATCCAGATCGAAGGCCAGCCAATCATTCTCACTGGTGCACCAGCTATCAACAAGCTCCTCGGTCGCGAGGTCTATACCTCCAACTTGCAACTTGGTGGCACCCAGATCATGTACAAGAACGGTGTGTCCCACATGACCGCCAACGATGATTTCGAGGGTGTATCCAAGATTGTCGAGTGGATGTCGTTCGTCCCAGACAAGAAGAACAACCCCGTGCCAGTCAGCCCCGCTGTCGATAGCTGGGACAGAGAAATCTCGTTCATGCCACCTGACAAGCAGGCGTTTGACGTCAGATGGCTCATCGCCGGTAAGGAAGACGAGGAGGGTTTCCTTTCTGGTCTCTTCGACAAGAACTCTTTCGTTGAGACCCTTGGCGGATGGGCTCGCACTGTCGTTGTTGGTCGTGCTCGTCTCGGTGGTATCCCAATGGGTGTCATCGCTGTCGAGTCTCGCTCCGTTGAGAACATCACTCCAGCTGACCCTGCCAACCCGGATTCCATGGAGCAGATCTCCAACGAGGCTGGTGGTGTCTGGTACCCCAATTCGGCATTCAAGACCGCACAGGCCATTAAGGACTTCAACAATGGTGAGCAACTGCCATTGATGATCTTGGCCAACTGGAGAGGATTCTCGGGTGGACAGCGCGATATGTTCAACGAGGTCCTGAAGTATGGTTCATACATTGTTGATGCATTGGTCAAGTACGAGCAGCCAATCTTCGTCTACATCCCGCCGTTTGGCGAGCTCCGTGGTGGATCATGGGTATGTATTCTTCTCCTGCTCATATTATTACTATGCTAACAAACACCAGGTTGTCGTTGACCCAACCATCAACCCCGACTGCATGGAGATGTACGCCGACGAAGACTCCCGCGGTGGTATCCTCGAGCCCGAGGGCATCGTCAACATCAAGTTCCGCCGCGATAAGCAGCTCGAGACCATGGCCCGTCTGGACCCCACCTACGGCGCCCTCAAGAAACAGCTCTCCGACTCATCTCTCAGCCCCGAGCAGCTCGCCGAAGTCGCCGAGCAGATGCAGGCCCGCGAGCGCCTCCTGCTACCCGTCTACGCGCAGGTCTCCCTCCAATTCGCCGATCTCCACGATCGCGCTGGCCGCATGAAGGCCAAGGGCGTCATCCGCGACTCGCTGAAGTGGCGCAACGCGCGTCGCTTCTTCTACTGGCGTGTTCGTCGCCGTTTGAACGAGGAGTACATCGTCAAGCGCATGGCGATTGCTGCGCCAGCGCAGCCTGGCGCTACTGGGACGCGCGCGCGCTCCCTGCAGTTGCTGGAGGCGTGGAGTGGGATCGTCAACTTCGATACTGCGGATCGCGAGGTCGCGTTGTGGTATGAGGAGAACAGGAAGCAGGTGCATGAGAAGGTTGAGGCGATGAAGGGAGAGTCTACGGCAGGAGAGATTGCGAGGTTGTTGAGGGAGGGTGGAAAGGGTGGATTGAGGGGCGTGAAGTTGGTGCTGGGCATGTTGCCGGCGGGCGAGAGGGAGGAGGCTCTGAAGTTCTTGAGCCAGGCATAGAAGAGGCGTGATGGGTGAATATAGAATTGTATGATAATGGAGGCTGAGCTGCGGAGACGCAGGTGTCGGTATTGCTGTATGAGCTTCTTTTGGGCCTGAAGCGTATGTGCACGGATTTTTAGATGTTTGAAATGGAGTTTTGTCTTTTGTTGGAATTATTTATTTGACAATTTACATTCGATTGTAACTTAAGTGATCTACATTCCTGAAGCAGGTGGTAATAAGGCCCCTCGTCGTGATGAAGGTGTCAGTGACTGAACTACTGTCTAGTCCTTCGCGAGCACTGTTGATGTTCTCCCTACTACATGTCGCACTGTCCCCGGTGCCTCTCCGGGAGAGGTAATATAACCGCCAACGCAAAGAATATTAGATGCAATTATACAACAGGAACAGATCATGCCCCTTTCTGGGTTCTTTATAGTTGCAAAGAGAGAATGGGTTGGTGGGCGAAGAGAATGATTGTTATCAGTGTGGATATTCAGGCGGATATACAAGCGTGTATGGATTGCAAGTGATAACGTCAACCTTGGTGACAACGTCCCGGGTGTGTACGTCAACTACATTGTTGACGAGAACGGGATCGTGGTTGTAGTAGGGGTAGGGGGAGGGGGAGGTGGATGGAACCAGAGGAGGGGGGAGAGACAGACGGCAGTGAGGGGATGGCCGTGAGAGGATGGTCGTGAGAACGCAGCGGCGGTGAGAAGGCAACGACAGTAAGAAGGTGACATTGAAGCGTCTTGCGCTTGACACAACTAGCATTTGACACAGCCAGCGCAAGCTGTTCCTGGGTTGGTCTGGCACTCATATGCCCCGTTTCGCTCAATTGTGAGCTTGAGCGATCTACGGTTGACCCAGGAGTCAACCTTAGTGCGCGATGGCCTTGCCCACCCTGTAACTCCATCTTCATCGCTTTTAAATCTTGTCTTCCAAATCGGCTTCCAATTCTCTACCGCCTCAAATATCTCTCGGGACATAGTTGTTTTGTCGCCATCCCTTACCCCTACTCTAGCAAGAAACACAAAGTCGACTATGGCTCCGTCTACCTCCTGAACCCCCTGTAACAATGCAGGAAAAGACTCGTCTCGGGTTGAACAGATGTGAGAGTTTCATATCATCGAATCATGCTGGGTCATCAGAATATCCTCCTTTTGTAATTCGGCTGCCTCGGGTTCAAGTTTGACTACCATTATATACTCCTCGCAACACCCGCGAGGGTCCCGCAGTCTATGATCCGCAGCAGCGAACTACTAGAGGTGGCAAGAGTTGCAGATGCAGAAATCCACGATCTCTATATTCCAAACATTGCCAGTTCGTATTCAAGTATCCTCACTATGGATTTTAACAGCGTCATCCTACTGGGAAATGGGCGCTCGAGGATACCACCAAAACCATTAACAGGCTGTATAAGAAGTTTGTAGGAATGGACGCCATAGGGGACACCGCCGACCACGCCGCCGCGGAAGCCATCGACCGCATGGCATCACCACCGACCTTCTCACCGCTTTGCTCTTGTCACCGCTCCTGTATTTTTCTCGACTCATAACTGTCAACAGACATGGGACACCTACTCTTGCAAAGATGTATTGTACGCCTCATCCACAGAGCTGTGTAGCATACCAACAATTCTTCCATCTAGATCGATGACACATGAGCCTGAATCACCCTTATACGAGAAACGATGTAGTCCTGGTATGTTTACTGCGCGAAATTCTGTTGTAGGGTCTTGAAAACAGTAGTAGCCCAGATCTGATCTCATGTAGCGTGGGCATGGGGGGTGATATGAGGCATGGGTGAGAGAGAAGTGAAAAGCAAGTAAGAGAATAAATAATAATTTGAAATCTACGCATTGTACAATACAATCCCACCGAGTTTACTTGAAGCTGGGATATATTACCACGCCAGTGAGACACCTCGACAAGAACAGCAGACATATCACGATGAACGGAAGCAAATTTCAATGAACAACCTAGTCTTTGTCATTGATTTGAAGTAAAACGATCTCAGGGCAGCGCCTCAGGTCAGACAGTATCTGCGAATTGCAATCCAGACTCATCTCCCTATTCTCCTCGAGCCTTGACCTGTTAATGCTTCTGTGTCATTTCATATACTCTTAATGCTCCTTCTCCATTCCATCACTTTTTCGTCGTTTCCAGTTGCTTGTCTCGGTAGTCGGGGTTTCGGAGGGATCGATACCGTGAGCCATAAAGCAATCTCCTAATCATCCGACTGCTTATTAGCCATATGTCACAACTCCACAGGTAGTTTTCCGTTTTTAGCATCCCAATACATCGTGACTACGTTTTCAACCCTCTCGCCAATGAAGCGGACCTCGTCACCAATGATGCGGTCAAACATTCTGAGATCCATGCCACATTCGTCTCTGAGGCGCTTGAAGAATTGGTCGGTATCTTGCTGAAGCTTGTTCATGTCCCGCTCAAGTTTATCCGAGGCGTCCCTGAGGTTTTTAGAGTTATGGTTAAGCGCGTTAATAGCACTAAAATGTTTAGTAGTGATTTGCTTGAGATCGCTAATGGATTGCTTGTGTTTGGGGATGGCTTGTTCAAGACGCTCCGGTAATGGCTGACTCTGGCCTGCGTCTTGCTGATGTTGGTCAAGATATTGCTTGAGCGCCTTATCGTTTCGATCAATTTGGCTAGCGAGTTCACTACGCGCGTCAAGGTCTTTGTTAACCTTGTTTCTCTCACGTCGGACGTGCTGACATTCACTCTCTACATTCCTAGCGACCTTCTCAAGGTGAATAGCTTCTTGCATGAGTCTGACGAACTCTTGGCGGAGTTGGATGTCCTTGATGGTATCGAACGGGGAGTTGTTGTCACCACTTGGTCCCGCAGTGTTTCCGGCAGGTTCTGACATCGCGAAGTTTGATCGTCGGTTGAAGCTACACAGAGTCTGTCAGGACAATTGCATCACAAGATAGGAGTTTGTCAATTACCTGAATCCTAGGATCTGAGTTCAATGAAACCTTGATACCGACTCTGACGTGGGGATTGTCGAGTAGAACGCTATAATGATATAGCGTCAGTTAAAAAGTGTCTGGAGGTTTGTGTGACGAGGTTGAGGTGGAATACTTGCCTGAATTGAGGTTTGGTTGAGGTGATTGACTTCGAAACTGCAAGTAGCGGAGCCCGGGGAGCTTGGCAAAGAGTGTTAGAAGGTGCGTATTGGAGGATCGGGAGGTTATTTACCTGTGTTTAGATCTCTCGTGATAGCAATGGATTGTAGTAGCAATGGATTATGGTAGCAATGGATTATGGTAGCAATGGATTATGGTGACGAGGTGTGAGGATGGGTGTTGTGGTGTCGAGGGTTGGAGGCGTTAAGGGTTGAAGATTGGAGATGCTGTGAGAAGTGAGAAGTAGAAGGTGCGAGTGGTTGCTTCTATGTAGCATATAGCTTACTATTTTGGCAGGTTGGAGTCGGGAAAGGTTGGGCATACTGGTACGAACTTCAGCTGGAATGAACTGCGCGTTGATCGGAAGTGGATTTCAATATACAACCCAAAAATCAATCATAAGTAAAAGTGAAACTTCCTACATATAGAACCTCATAGATCAAATACATCTGCCCCTTTCAAACCATTTACCCACAATTTTCCATGCGCCCTGCCCAGTTAACCCCCCGACCGCCATCATTTCACCACTCCATCTTCATCAAACAAGCCCTGCCTATTCGCCCTTTAGCACCATAACATCATCCAAATAACCAGAATACTCATCAAACAACTCAATCAACTCCAACATCGGCCCCTTACTCTTCTCCTCCTCATGCTCCCTAATCCTCTTCCTCAGGACTTCCCCCACAATCTGCCCATCCCCCCCCAGCCCTGCCACATCTACAAACTCCACCCCGCCAAGAAATTCCTCAACTTCCCCCTCCAACTTCCCAGCATCCCGACTAAACCCCGCCGTACCCTTCTCCAACTCCGCAGCAGCTTGTTCAGCAATTCGTTTAACTTCTATAGAAGCTTGTTCAAGCTGACTATTAGCGATCATAAATCGCTGAGTAGCTTCCCGCACTTCGCTGGAGGCTTAGTTGAGAGACTCGGCGGCTGTAAGGGCGTCGGCGTTGTGTTTTATGTGGTGGGCGGAGGCTTTGAGGGAGGTGTCGGCGAGGTTGAAGGAGTTGGAGGCTTGTTTGGCGTTTGGTGGTGGTGAGGGTGAGGTGGGAGGCTGATTAGCGGAGTTGGTCGCTGGAGTGTTTGAGGTGGGATATGGTGAGGAGAAGTTGGCTTGGTTCTGTTGTAGGTTCTGTTGTGGGTTCTGTGGTGGGTTCAGTAGTTGATGTCATTGTCATGTATCGGGAGGTAATACTTGGATATAGACTTCAGCGAGTTGCGAGGATGAGATTTGAAGGTTGGTGTTGGGTTCTCATGGTGTTGTTATAAGGTATGTGGCCGTGGGAAAGTGAGAGTAACCTTGCACATAAATAAGCACGTCAAGAACGTGGGATATCTAGAACTGCAGGACAGGCCTTCAACGCCACAGCACACAATATGCAGATCTGCCAGGAAGGTAATACTCAGTGCTCAAACGAAAGTAGATAATTGCGTGAGATATGCGCATCGAATTTGAGCCAGAGATGTCGATAGTAGCGTTGATGTTCATATGAGGTGCATTTCAGGCACCACTCCTCTCGCTCACGTGCAATGCAATGCAATGCGACTCCCATGCAATCAATATCTACTATATAAACCACACTCTCTCCTAATTACTGCACATACTGAACGAATATCTCATAGTACTAACACAGGCAATTCACCAAGATGCCATACTCGTGCACAATTCCATCACAAGAGTGAGTTATACAACCCTTTGTGCATAATTAAAAATCTCACCACAGCACCATAAAATTATGCCTTGCCCCGTAAGACAACACAGCCAAACACAGCCAAACAAATACGGGTCGTGTCAACCTTACGAGCCGCTCCGACACTGCTTCGCCATACCACTACCACGTCGTTAACCGTGACACAACCGCAGCAAGCCTCGGGTGGACGACACTGTCACGCCGGCAGTGGAGTGGGCTTGTATGAGGGCTGCGCCGCATTTTAACGAGCTCCATATTTTTGCAGCATTTCTGCATCCTTCACGCGAGAAACACAGCATAATACTTGGTTAGGCGAAATGAGGGGGCTGCTTGGCAGCTTGAGATCGACGAGGCTGAAGCTGTCAGTGTTCAATCAGGAGACAGGGAAATAGGGAAATATAGGTGCGGTGGACCAAAATAGTATAAATAGCAGCTCAGCCTCGCTTGGCACCAGTGATGGGTAGCGATGGTGCCTGATGGGGACTAGGGGCACCTGTCTAGTTGCTGTCTAGTTGCTGTCTAGCATGTGTCTAATTGCCACTAGCCCCCATTTACCTATGTCTAACCCCATCTGTACCTATCTGAGCCCTCTTAAATCCCATCCAGACCCCATTTTGCCCCACTCAGACCCCTGTCAGCCCTCCGTCGCCCATCAATCTGTCAAATAAGCTCGGTGTGTTAGCTGGCCGACGGTCCACACCTATTCCTACTGACACCCCCCCTGAGCCTCCTTCAGTTCAAGGCAACTAAAATGACTAGGAAGGCCTTCCATGTCCTTAAATCTTTCCGCGTCCCGTCCTCTTCCTTCAACGCGATCAAAAAGTAAATTCCGACAAAACATCTTCAACCACGGAATCGTCGTCGACATCAACAAGCAGACGCCAAACGCCCACTAATAATATCATAATATCGCGTCGCAGCAGCAATGGCTCCAAGAAGAGGAGGAGGATACAGTAGTGGGGGTGGTTCAACTTGCGCTCACTGTCTTGATACCTTCACTATGACTGGATATGGCTGGCAGGTAAGGAGACAGAAGCTGAAGCCTATCGTTTCCAGAGTTTGCTAACAAATGAATCAGAACCCGACCACTACGGCGTTGTTTGCCATGTATATCATACTTTTGATCATCCTCATCGTGTGCATGTTTCTCACGAGGCGCTTTAAATGGATCCGCGAGAGGGGAACCGACAAGCTGCGAAACAGAGGATACTTCATCGCTACGTTGTTCATGTTTTTGTAAGAGATGCACCATTCTAACGCTCCTTGAATTCAACCGACTGACTTTCCAACCTAGCGACATCCTCTTGGCGGTTATCTTCATGGCCATGGGTGAATCTTTCGTCGAGGTAACTTACCTGATCTACATTGGCTACCTCATCCAGGGATTTTTCTCCCGAGTTGCCAATGTCTTGATCGTGGCAATCATCGCTCGCACCATCACTGAAGACGTTGGCACGGTATCTCAAAAGATTGCCAGCTACGCCGTCGGATTACTGTGGACAATTACCACAATCAGCTTTGGCTTCTTGATCGCCGTCTACGCCGAGGTCATGTCTATGGGATATGTCGAAAGGATCGCGTCTGATGGCCAGCTGTATACGTTAATTCTCGAGGCGTCATATATGTTCGCGCTCGCCCTCTTCCTCACCGCGCTCGCCATTTTCGCCGTATTGAAGAGGAGTTCCAAGGTATGCTCTAACCCCCCCCTCACACAAGAAAAGAACCCCCATTCTAACACCACGCCAGGGAACACTCCTGATGCTCACCATCGTCATGCCCGCCCTCTGCCTCATGACCCTCCTCGAACTCGTCAAACAAGCCGTCTACAACTTCTCCAGCGACCCCTACGTGAGACGAAGCTACACCCTCTCCTATGCCAGTTCCTTCATCGCCGTCTTCGCACTCATGGCCATCTTCCTCACCGTCGCACTCATCGGCGGCCTGCGCCAACGCCACTCCGACGCCAGCGGCCTCACCCAGGAGCAGAAACTCGCCCAACCCGGCCCCCACTACGTCGCAGTCGGTCCCTACACTGCTCCCGCTCCCTACAACCCCCACGGAACCCAACTGGCCGACGGCCAATATGAGCCGCAGACCCAGTACGGCGCTCCCGTTCAACAGGGACAGCAACAACCATTCCAGTACGTGCCGCCGAATTACGGGCAGCAGCAGCAGCAGTACGCGCAATACCCTGTTCCGGGCCAGTTTGGGCAGCAGCAGCATGCCGAGATGTCGAACACACCTGCGATGGGATCTGCTAGCGTAACAACGGCTGCGTCGCCGGTGCAGTACGCGGCGCCGGTTGCGGTGTCGCCGGCACCGTATGGGTCGTCGGTGTCGCCGCCGCCGCAGCATGATCCGTATCAACACAAGACGTATCAGTGAGGGGTGAAAGGGGAGAATAGTATGAGAGAGGAGAGAGAGATTGATTGTAGAGAGAGCATTTAGGTGTTATACCCGGTTTTTGGCGCGATGGATGGGGGTGTGTTTTTGGCCTACCTGATAACATAACGAGAGGGGGTGATAATGAGATTGGTACTATATTAATGTATATAGAATTACTTTTTAAGTGAATTATGATTTATTTACGTATGTGACGAGACATGCAACTCAGTGAGCCATATTTCGAATGGTGTCAAGTCATAAATAACCGGTAGGATGGTTGAGCCCTTGGTCCCTGTTACTTGGCACATGTGACGGCGTTACAGTGCATTTTCACAGTGCACAATATGCGAAGCACCACCACCAGAAATGAACGTTTGTTTCAACGTCAGCTGGGCCTGATTTTACTCCCACAGACACCCATAAATCCCTTTGCAACAACCAATGTAACCTAAAGTTTCGCTTACTTAGCCAGCATCTCTCAGACTGGTATTGTCTCTAACAGTCACCACCCTGCCTATCCTCTTCCCCACTCCCATCACATCACCAAATGGCACTCCCATTCCTCCCCGAAGAACTCCTCGAACGAATATGCTCCTACCTCTGCCCCCACTGCCAAACCCCCCACGACATCCCGAACACCGACTCGCCATGCGTCCAGACCAGCAAAGCCACCCTAGCCCGCCTCTGCCTCGTCTCAAAGCGGCTCCTCGCCATCGCCCAGCCAATCCTCTACCACTACTACGCAACCGGGAACATTATCGGCCCCCTCAACCCCAAGGTGTCCTCCTACCCCACCGCAGACGACAAGCTCCCCTCCTTTCTGCGCACTATAATCCACCGCCCCATTCTCGCGACACATATCCGCACCCTCCAGCTTCAGGAAACTCAAAGTCCTAATCTCCCTGCCTTTGCGCCCGAGCTCCTCCCACTGTTTAACAGCACCAGCGAAGCCCATGGCATTAGGGCGCCCATAGCTGCGCAATGGGTCATCGATCCCACACTGCCGCGCCCAAAAGACGCAATCGAGAAAAAGACACGCATAGCCATCCACCTCTGGCTCCGCGAACTCGCCATCATTCTTACCCCCCGCACCTCTCATCTGATATTCGGCCACAGCCCCTTCCTCCCGCGCACCCACATAGAGCCCTCATCCCGACTCCTCCCAGCTCTCACGTCCCTCTCGTTCCGCAACGGCGTGAATGGGTATAACCTAGCCATGATGCTGCCGCTGCTGCGGATGGCGCCGAACCTGACATCGCTGCACGCGACCGACATCTTCGGTTACTACGGCGAAGGGCTAGGGGTTAGTGCGCCTCTGTCGCTGCCGGGGGTGCGGAGGTTGGTGGTGGAGGGGATGAGGATGGATGGTTTTTGCGAGATGGTGGGGTGGTGTGGGGGGTTGAGGGATGTGGAGTATCATTACCACCGCAATTTTTATGGGCCGGAGATATTAGGGGCTTTGGCGCCGCTTAGGGGGGTTTTGAGGAGGTTTTGCGTGATGTTCATATCGGGGAGGTTGGCGTCTTATAGTGATGTTAGTGCACCCTACGAGTACTTGATGCCGAAGAGCCAGCCTGAGACTATACAATCGCTACAGGAGTTTTGCCAGCTGGAGGAGTTGGTGATCGACCAGTGGGCGTTTAATTACTATGGTAATGGCCACGGAGGTTCGAAGAGACTCGTTACGCTACTACCTTCGTCGATTCAAACTGTGCATTTCAGATATATCCATAGAAGCATGCAAGCCGAACTACAACAGCTCGCGCTGGCGGTACCGAACAAGTTCCCCAAGCTACGGCGCTTGAAGATCGGCATAGCGGATAACTGCAAGCCGGAGTGGAGACATGAACTAGAGAAGATGCGCTCCGTGGAGGCGGACTTTGCGGATGTGGGCGTGCAGGTGGAATGGGGCGTGGATGGGGGCTATCCGTGTCCTGGGTCGGCAATGCCGCGACACACGGTGTTCCCAGAGTCGGAACTTGTTGTCCGTCGTTCTGCTGACTCCGCGTCGTTCATCGAGATGGAAAACACAACTACTCAACGTGGAAGGCGCAGAGTGATACCGAGGATACGTGAGAGAATTTCATCTTTCCGCTCTACCTATCTATCTGGCTGAAGTACTCCTATCTAATCCCTGCCCTTTATATAGAGTTAAACCATAGCTACCTATCCCGAGAGCGGCTTGCGTCCATGGACAATGTAACTGCCACTATTAGCACTCCCCCCTATAACCAAGAAAAAGCACGGAGAAACTCACTAAGGCCAATATGCGTGGATACTACGATCCCGAATCTCCTTCCTCACCCCCACCAAAAACACCGAAACCTCCTCCGGCGTCCACCCCAACGCCTTCTGGAACACCCTCATCGTCATCCCCTCCAAATTACTCAACAAGTTCTCCATCTCCCACGCTCCAAGTACCTTCATCCTCGGATCCTTGGGCCACGTGTTACACGGCAACTTCACCACCTTGACCGTCACATCCTCAAACCCTCGCTCCTCGAACCACCCCTTCCAGCGCAGCGGATCGTCGATCGGCGTCCCGAATATCTTGGCCGATTTGTTCAGGTTGTCGGCGAATTTCTGGAAGCTGCCGTCCACGGGGAGCGTGTTGTCGTCGGAGCCGATGCAGGCTGTTACGGCTTGGAACTCGACGTATCCGCCTGGTTTCACATGACTGTTGGGGTTAGTTATTGGGATCGGGAGTTATGAGGGAGGGAGAAAAGGGGGACTGACGTGTAGCACTGGTCGATTAGCTTGGGAAAGTCGCGGCAGGCGAGGAGGAGGTCGCGGCAGAAGATGAAATCGAAGCTGTTCTCTTTCCACATCCACGGACGCTCCATGTCGTCTAGCTCGAAGCGGCAGTTCGGGGGGACCCTGAGGTTTGTTAGGCTCCTGTTGAGATTCGGATGAGGGACATTAGAAATACCAATCTGGCTGTGTAGGTGCAATGTCCACTCCGATGACCTGTAGAAGTAAGGAAGGTGCCACGTTCTAGAGGCAAGGAAACGAACCTCAGCTGATGGATATTCATCGGCCACGTCTATGCACCAGATTCCTGAATCGAGTGAGATTAGGACGGGTCGTACGCACATGTTGAGCCCCCCTTACCTGTGCCGCACCCGAGATCCAAGATCTTCTGAGGATTGCTTCCGATCGGGGCGAGGAAGCGCTTCTTCTCAAGCAATGCGTAGTACTTTGCGTGGCACATATCGATGCGGTCCAGCTCTGCCTCGTCCATGGGGAGGCCATATTCTGCCACTGCGTGAGACCTTGTACTTGGAGAAAGGGTGTCTCGGAGAAGGCATACCTTCTTTCCCGTAGACGGCGTAGGTCCTGCCGCCCTCCCCTATCTCGCCTCGGAGGATGGATGAGGTGATGGAGGTGTACGAACTACCGCCTACGCTTGCCACATCATTCGCCTGTAGGATCCCGTGTCAGTTTTCGTAGTCCACGTGTTAGGCATGGTGCAGCATGGCGCCTACCTCGTCTTCAAAGTCATCATATGCTGTCTGTGAGAAATGTCAGTATCACCGTGCCATTAACCTCCCTCCACTCCATCCCAGGCACTGCTGTGACCAGCATGTAGGGCAACATTTCCAAATAAGAAGCGCGAGTTCAATGCTACACCACATCTCGTACAACAAGAGAAACGGGGTTGTGCGAAAGTGAGTCTTGGCACCCCGCTCCCCGAGCACGCCTCCTTACCTCGTCGGCCTGAATATGATCTTCCTCCACTAAAGTCGGCGCCACGTTAGTTTCGCTCATGGTAGGCAAAACTAAAAAAAATCGGAAAAGAAAAGCGTGATTTTTAGCACCGGGTGCGATGTCAGATGGAGAGGTGGCGTACGGGGAAAGAAGTAGTTGAGGAGAGCAAAATCAGCTTAAGGCAGGGTGGCGGTGGGGGTAGCGTCCACCACCCTTGCCAGATGTTGGCCGCTGGGGACTCGCGAATTGGGGGTCTTGAGAGCTCACGGGCCGACGCGCAACAGTGGACTTTCCGCCCCTCTAGCTTCGTTCGCCCTGCGCGAAATGCAATACGCAGCCAAGCTGGACTGTTGAACCACTATCGAGTGTGGTAATATAATGGTTGCGGTGGCGCTCACTGGCCCAACCGTGGGTAGGACCCTGGGCGGGACCCTGGCTGGCGGGGGCGTGTTAGGGGTTCATGCGTTGGGGACGCAGGGATGCGGGTGGCCTGACACGCGGGATGATGGGGGCGGCGTCGTGGCGTGGAGGCTAATGGAACGGCGGGTCCCTTCCGGTTCGCTGGCCTCGAAAGAGATATGCTGGATTCCTCAGGCGACGTCGCGACGGCGTGGAAGGCAGGCAACGGAATAGGCATAAAGGATGCGCTGCCCATGCGGTAACCTGGCAAGGGCGAGGCGGGCAAGTGCTTCGTGCTGGCGCTTCTAACATCGATTTGTCAAAGCGATTCGGTCGCACATGGGCACGTCTTCTTACCGGAGTCTTGCCGGAGTTTCTTGTGCTGATGGTGGGGGGTAGCAGGGAGCTGGAGGGGTGACAAAAGAGGGGCATCTGGAGTATGCTTCTAAAGCAGACAACCGCGCCTCCCACAGCCCACTCTCCTTCCTGTTCCTAAATAGCCTGCTTAAAGCCGGATATTCGCCACATCAGCAAAAGCAAGTGCCGCCTCATCCATCTCCACCCCCAAAACACTGTGTCGGTAATCCAACAAAGACCCTGCCCTCATAAAAACCCGCTGTCAATGTCGTCCACCGACGTCAGTGCCGCCATTGCGGCGACCGAGAAGCTCCTCGAATCTCTCAAGGCCTATGATGGGTCTTCCAGCGCGCATATCACGCTTCTGAACCAGACGGACCAGGTGCGCGCTGAGCTTGAGCAGCCATACGATGTCGTTACCCGGATGTTTGAGAACCTCACGGTGTGTGGATCTCTGAACATGCTCCTCCGTATTGGTGCGATGCACAAGCTCCCGAGCGACGGAACTTCGATCAATGCGGCGGATCTCGCGGCGGCGGTCAATGTCGATGTCACGGCTATCCACCGCGCGATGCGTGTCATTCTCGTGCAGGGCATTGCCACCGAGACGGCATCGAATGAGTATACGCATAACCAACTGTCGCTGGCACTGCTTCCAGAGGGAGCGGGCGCATTCTTCCTTCTGTGCATGGATCTGAGCAAGGCGATGGGAATGCTACCGGAATACTTCAAGACGCACGCGCCGGAGGACTTGTACGATCTCAAGAAATCGCCGTGTGCGTTTTCGGTGGGCAAGGAGGGGCGCTCGTACTACGAGGTTCTGAATGACGATGTGGAGCAGCGCAATATGTGGAATGCAGCGATGCAGATGTCTGAGAAGAATATGCCCGTGCGCGGCATGTTCCCATTCGAGTCGTTGAAGGAGCAGGTTGAGAAGGAGCCCGAGAGGGCGTTCGTCGTTGATATTGGTGGTGGGAGAGGTCAAGCCTTGTTGGCTATCCAGGAGGACTGCCCTGGTGGGTTTGGGGGGAAGATGATCCTCCAGGATCTACCCATTGTCATTGACTCGCTGAAGCCGGAAGAGATCCCTAATATCGAAGCAACTGTCCACGATTTATTCACCCCACAGCCAGTCAAAAGTAAGTCCTATCTTTATCCCTGAGTGTCACGTCTGTACTAACTTAAATTCAGATGCACACGTTTACTTCTACCGCCGTCTGCTCCACGACTTTTACAACCCTGTCTGCGTCGAGATCCTCAAGCAGACCGTTTCTGCCATGGGCCCCGACTCGCGCCTCATCGTATGCGATATGTTGGTGCCCAGCCGCGTGACAGTCGGAGTCCCGATGCAGCTTTACTGGCTTGACATGAGTCTCATGCTCATCAGCGGAAAGGAGAAGACAATCGAGGAGTTCCATGAGATCTTCGACGCCGTCGGTCTCGAGCTCGTGAAGGTCTATCCGTCGAACGTGGGGGAGACAGTTATGCTGGAGACGCGCCTGAAGAGGACGGAGTAGAGTGGTGGTAAATGAAGGATACTTATCAGCACGACTTCTCATTATTTTTAACTTCATCGCTGGCTGGCAGGCACAGTACAGTAGCGATATGGGAGGCCGCCTCGTCGAATTCGTCTGCGTTGATTTTTCTGAAATTTAACTTGATTTAAAATTAGAACTGTCATACACGCACGCCCATCACGTTATGGACACAATATAAATATCTATTATAAGGACATATGATGTAGCCATATTTTGAGGTGTTCTCATGTGTTGTATATTCCGAATCGCGCCACCTGGACCCTGTGGGGCATTTGGCGGGGTCCCGAATGACGTCGGCTGCAGGTGAAACATCAATCCACTGTGCATGCTGCAACCACATCACAAATCCCAACGCAAGGGATGAGATGGAGGCGTGTAACACCGCATAATGTACCCTATGAAGCGTTGAGATGTGCCATAATGCGGACTGGTATATACCAACCAACACGTATTGTCAGTACAATTCGCTATTGGACGGTACACTCAAAGCCGTTGGGTGTACCTGACCTGTGAAGCGATAGGGACATCCACTGACACACCTCACTTCACAATAATCTCCGAGACTGGCGACGAGTCGACAGGGGATCACGTGAAATAAAAAACGATGCAAGCCTTTGGATGTTGGGGGGCGTGATGGAGGCTTTATCACGATGGAGCGTCACCGGCGCTGTTGAACCCTATCGTCGTGGCATCTCCCCACGAAAGCGATCGACAGGCGGCCAGTATGCCACGGATGATGTGGCTGGACCTTCCCGCATGGAGGTACCAAGTCATGGTTGTTTGCTATGCCGGTTGGACCCTCGCTCTTGCCATGGCAAAGCTTGTTTGTACCAACTGTGGCCGCGGCAGGTACTATCGGTGAATCAAGGGGGAAATCTTCGCTCGATGGGCAGGAGCGGCACTGCCTCTTTAATCCACAACATCGCCGGCATGGTGATATAAGTAAGTTAATTAGCTCTCAAACGTCTCTGTCTCTCTATCTCTCTCTCAAATCACATCACTTATCTTATATTTCCTATCCTGTATCTACTATCACTCGAGAAAAGAACTGTATTCATTACCACTCCTACATACCATTCCATATTTGAACTACCATCATTTCTATTCTCCAACATGTCTACCCAAGGCTTCTTCAAGATCAAAGTCGTCCCCAACAGCAACTATCAGCACTCTGGCCTCAAGTCCTACGTTTATCTCCTTCAGAAATGGGGCTTTCAGCCCACGCTCCCTGGCCCGTATGTCCACATCGACAAGGTTGTTCGACAAGGATTCGGTTTTGGCTTCTTGAAGAAGGTTATTGGGAAGACACGCACTGATAGTGCCCTGGCCAAAAAGGAGGGACCAGAGGAAGCTGCGGCGAAGGCAGAGACCCGCGAAGTCCCTACGCAGGATATACAGTATGATTCAATATATCTCTCTGAGGTTTATATTGGCACGCCTCCCCAAAGGCTGTTGCTCGATTTCGACACTGGTTCTGCTGATACTTGGGTAAGCTGTTCGGCCAGCAATATAAATTTTATGCTTATTCTGGCTAGGTCTGGTCCACCGAACTTCCCTCCAATATCCAGAAAGCCGCTGGCCACTCCATCTTTAACCCCAAGAAATCTTCCACATTCAAGCCCATGAAGAACTCGACTTGGCAAATCTCATATGGCGATAGCTCCTCTGCATCTGGAATTGTCGGCATCGATAACGTGACGATGGGGGGTCTGACTGTAAATAACCAAGCTGTTCAACTCGCGAATAAAATGTCGAGTGAGTTTGTCAAGGTGACCGGCGACGGCCTTCTCGGTCTTGCGTGGGGCCACATCAACACCGTCACTCCAAAGCAAGTTGCTACGCCTGTCGCGAACATGATTGCGCAGGCCAACATCCCAAAGTCTGCCGAGCTCTTCACGGCATATCTCGGCAGCTGGCGCGATGCAGATGACGAAGATAAGGGTGAAAGCTTCTACACCTTCGGGTACATTGACGAAAAAAACGTCAAGAAGTCTGGGGAGGAGATCTACTGGACTCCCGTTGATAATTCGCAGGGCTTCTGGATGTTCGACTCTCCCTCCGCGACTGTGAACGGTAGGGTTGTCCAGAGGAAGGGTAACACGGCCATTGCTGACACTGGTACTACGCTTGCCCTGGTCTCTGATGAAACTTGCAGAGCCATCTATGACGCTATCCCCGGCGCATCCTATGACTACTTTAACCAGGGCTATGTGTACCCCGCTAACACAACGGAGGATCAACTTCCTACCGTCACCCTCGCCGTTGGTGGCAAGCAGTTTACGATCCAAAAAGAGGATCTCGGCTTTGCTGATGCCGGGAATGGGATGATATATGGCGGAATTCAGTCTCGGGGGACGATGCCGTTTGATATTCTCGGGGATACGTTCCTAAAGGGGATGTATGCTGTAAGTTTGCCCACATTAACTGTCTTGTTGCTGTTCAGGGGTATCTGGGTGTGGAATGACTGCTAACGGAAAAGCAGATCTTTGACCAGGGGAACAAGCGCTTTGGGGCCGTGAAGAGGATTGATACTACAACGAACTTGGCAGCCCCAATATTCTAAATGAGTTGAGTTGGGTATGATGATGCGATGACTTTTGACGGGAAATTGAAATGGCTACCAGGTGGATCCTCGTCAGGTTAGGCTTTTGTATCAATGAGAATGTAACATGATTGGATTTATATACTGCTCACATTGGTGAACGTGAGACCTATGGATTCTCTATATCCAGCTGCGCTATAAAAACTAGCTTTAGGAAACTCCACATCAGACAAAGCCATTAATAAACACATCGTATACACTGGAGTTTCGCCGCGTTTCCCTCAGATGGGTCGCGCAACCATGAGAGACGAAAGAGTGAAGAAGGTTTGGCTGTAGAGTATGTATGAAGCGGGTAAGAAAGGCACAATGGTGAGAGAAGGAGAGTGGTGAGAAGAGGAAGGTGACAAGAACAAGACCGAGGTGAGAATAGAACGGCGGTGGGAAACATAGACCAGAACGGGGTCAAGGTGACAAGCGTAGTATTGATTTGAATCAAAACAGGGCTTATATAATTCCGAGGCATTGGGAGGGGTTTCCGATCCTGCCTTGATATCATCAGTTCCACCTCTAGCCGACATGAAGTCGGCCAGCGAAGTCTCAGTTTGGTGCCGTGGGTAAATGCGATATAGGCAGATGCAGTTAGTGACATAGAAAAAGTAGTTGGCAGTGGCTGAGAGAAACGACGTGCAACATTGGCTACACGCCCCACATGACTTCAGGCAGACACAACTCCCAACGACAAACCTCACCATCAAATCCTCACCGAAGCCAGCCCAAAAATCCAAAATCTCCATCCACGATTAAATTCCCATCATACATCACCACATCTACTGCCAAAAATGACGCCGTCACCTACCCCACACCCAACCGCCTCCGCCTGGAAAATCATCCCCCACTTCCCGTCCCGTTCCATCCCCGCCACGATCGCCTTCTACACCTCCATCCTTGGCTTTAGTCTAGGAGGCACATACGTCCACGATGACCACCCCCTCGCAGGGGCGGGGGAGCCGACGTTTGCGTCGCTGTTTGCGGGGGACAAGGCCGCGGCAAATATTTATTTCTTCTTGACGGTGGATGGGCAGGATCGGGGGATGAAGATGGCAGAGGGGAGGGTGATGATTGCGTTGAAGGAGGGGGAGGTGGATGTGTTATATGAGAAGTTGAAGAGGCTCGAGGAGGGGAGGGCGAGGGGGTCTGGGGAGAAGGAAGTGGGGGACTGGGGGATCGTGGATGAGATTGGGGATAGGCCTTGGGGGTATAGGGATTTTTCGGTTAAGGATGGGGATGGAAATATGCTGAGCTTCTTCTGTTTTCTGGAGGATGGGGAGGAGGAGGAAAAGACGGTGGCGGATGCGTAAGCTCGTATTCATAGTTTGATTCTTCGAAATGAACTACGCTTACAGCTGAAGTACTTGTGCGGCTTTGCGGCTCAAGAGTCTTTCATATCACAATAGGAACAACGTTGAGCAACCAATGAAAGTCCTGGATTTTATTTGTAGACTGTATAATCACTAGCATCCTGCTCGTTGGTACGTATGAGCCCTACGAACACCTTCACTTGAGAAATGTGACCAGTAGCATGACTACTGGTCACATTTCTCAAGTGAAGGTCCTAATCTCCGCTTTCTATAAATAAAATGGGCCGGTCGGGAATGTGGATAAGAAGAGGAAGGGAAGAGTGGGATAAGCGGATAGCTAAAAATTGTAAGCGTGTTCTTAGTGGATAGCTAATTATGATATTCCGGGAAACTACAACTGGAGTGGTCGAAGGAATACGGAGGATTCGCAGGATTCACGGGATTTGCGTCACCCTTGCCGCCATCTAGATATCATAAAAGCTTGGCCACAGCCTCTTACACATATTTCCATGCCATCAATCGAACTTCTGCCAGCTTTCAAGAAAGTAATTGGCCTCTGCAACTGTCAAGATGGTTCTCCTAAGTCTCTCCCTACTGTCCGCTGGGTTGGCCTTCGCCAATGCCGCCTCTCTCACCCAGGTAACTGATTTTGGGTACAATCCCACGAACGCGGAAATGTACATCTACGTACCAGATAAACTCCCTGCAAATCCTGCCGTCATTCTCGGTGTGCACTATTGTGGCGGCACAGGGCCCGAATTCTATAACGACACAAGATGGGCAAGCATCGCCGATACGAAGGCGTTCATCGTTGTCTATCCCAACACCCCTAACCTTAAAGACCACTGTTGGGATGTAGCATCCAAGCAAACTCTCACCCACGATGGTGGTGGTGACTCTCAGTCCATCGCAAACATGGTGAAGTACACCATTGCCAAGTACAACGCCGACAAGTCCAAGGTCTTTATGACCGGCAGATCATCAGGGTCAATGATGACCAACGTGATGGCAGCCACATATCCCGATCTCTTCGTCGCTGGTTCTGCATACGCCGGTGTCTCCGCAGGATGCGCCGCAGGTCCAGAGGTGGACTACTGGAACGCCGACTGTGCTCAAGGAAAGATCATTAAGACCGGAGCTGAGTGGGCTGCCATTGCCAGGGACATGTATCCCGGCTACACCGGAGCGTATCCAAGAATGCAATTTTGGCATGGGACTGTCGACGGTATCCTCAACTACCAGAACTTACATGAAGAGGTAAAGCAGTGGACGTCAGTCTGGGGCGTTGCGGATGTGCAGCCGGTGACATCGACTGATTCGCCCGAGGCTGGATATACGAGGATGAACTATGGTGATAAAGTAGAGAGCGTCAGTGCTGATAATATTAACCATGATATACCGGTCCATGAGGAGGAGTCGCTGAAGTGGTTCGGGATCTGAGCTGGGGGTATCTGTGTTTCTTAAAAGTCTGGAGAGGGCCTCGATAAATGGGAAATGATACCTGCAAATTAATGACAATCCAAAATATCTCCATAGATCAATTTACGAGCAATTAAGTTATCAAGTGTATCAAAATGCCGTTTGTGTGATCTACGCTTCCGTTATTTTATGTACAGTGACAATAAACACCCATCGCAGCGATCTGATCCAGGGGTCGTCATGGCTGATGATGCTAAGCGATAACGGGAACTAATCGCTAGTGTCAATCATCAACTAAAACTAAATCGAAGCCGAGGCAGACCGAAGATATCCCCACCCTTCAAAATGTCAGTCTTTTGACGGCAGGAGCACGTGTCAGGCAGTATTGGATCCCAAGGGCAAGGTTGGAGAACAGCTTCTTTCAAACTTTTCAAACATATTATACCTTATTATACCTCCTTGCAACCATCATGTCGTTTACTATCTCGCACTCAATCCCGGTTCTTCCTCCGTCTGCGGCCGTGTATCTCCTCTTGGTTGCGCTCCCTGTGCTGGTGATCTCCGAAACCACATCCTCCCTCGCTGGCCATGCAGTTTTCAAGATCGTATGTTCCACAGCATTTGCTAGTGGACCACTCTTATTAAAAGAATGGTCGCCTTACGACACTCTCATAATATATGGACTCGTTCTATCTTTCATCGGCGACATATGCTTAATTCCCTCTGGGAATGAATACTACGACTCCAGCCCCAAATCGGTGGAGGCTTCCAAGGCCGCCAGGAAAGGCAACCAATCGCGTGATGCACCAAAAGAAGTAGAAATATCTACTTCATTCAAGCTGGGCATCCTTGCATTCGCAGGCGCGCATATAGCGTATATCCTTGCCTTCCTTCGTAACGCCGACGAAGTTTCTCAGTCGACGCTAGTAATCACATTCGTGGCATCAATGGCGGCCGGGAAATGGCTCGGCGCCATCTATCCAGGGCCGACATCCACGAAATCGGGCAACGTTCTCAACCTGTCCATTGCTGGCGAAATGCGGCCCCTGGTTTCCGTGTATGCAACTATCATCAGCTCGATGCTGGCAGTGGCGGCCGCTACTACCGCCCCAGCCTCCTCCAACTGGCCGCGCCAAAGGCTTCTAGGAGCCATCATGTTTGTGCTCAGCGATCTCTTCGTTGCGGCAGACGCATTTGGGGATTCGGGCGTAGCAAGGGGCATCAAGAAGGCGACTATCAGACGGAATTCCGTCATAAAGATTGCTGTGGGATGGGGTCTTTATTTTTGGGCACAGATGATTTTGGCTGGGACGCTTTACGTATAAGTCAAGAGGCTTCCACAGCACTTCTGAGAGCTTTGTTATCTTTCTTCATTTGATCGCAATATGCTATGAAGCCAGAACACTAGGGTTGACGTTATACCATCGAGTCAGTGGTGGCCCCTGTTACCTTCTCATAGTTATTTTCCGCAGCAGCTCTCATTTGGGCTCGCGGTGCCCTCCTTCCAGTCATAAGCTCAAACTGTGCAAATCCTTGCGCTGGTATGAACTCCAAACCATCGACCATGACCCAAGCCCGCCCTGTCTTCTGGCGAAAGCGTCGTATCTGCCGAACGAGAGGCGTATTCAGTGGTTTATATGCCAACTATCAAATGTACCTGTTAGCATCTAGTTTATTGAATACAAACGAGCTTTGAAGGGGTCTTAAAAGATAAAATATAGGGGGAACGTACCTCAAGTGCCACTCCTCCTGACGGGCTCCCTAGCCACTGTTCTGGAACCTCAAAATCTGCTGGGCTATGGATCTCTACCTCGTGGGCAGGCACACAGGAAACCAAGAAAGTAGGCTGCTGGTATTCGGCTGGCCAAGGCTCGTTTCTTGTTCGTAAAACAGAAACCACTCTTCCATTCGCTGATAAGGCTCCAGCCCAAGAGTTGAAATGATCGGCGACAATTTCTGCATTTTTGAGCGTTCGGTTGTAAATAAATATGTTCCGACATCCCAGCAGAATCATAGCATATATTGAAGCTCGTGCCATTCCTCCTGCACCTATAACAAGACCAGTTGTCTTTGACGGTTGCACGACATTTCTCGGAGTGGCGTTCCGCCGAAGACATGCTAATATCCCTAGAAAATCTGTGTTGTCGGCGAACCAAGCACAAACAGGTCCAGCATGACCCCGTCTGTTGGCTTGATTGAGTAAAAAATCTGCAGACCCATCTGGGAGAGCCCGCAAAGGTGTGATTGTGTTTGAGGCACCTATTGCTTTTGCGTGGCGGCTGTGTGCCACACATCGTGACATAATTTCGACTTTGAAAGGCTGGCTAATCCCAGCACCTCCAAAATGGGGGTCCTGTGATAATGCAGCTAGCTCGTCGAGTGATGAACCGGTGTACCTATAGTACTGTCCTTTCATCCCAAGGTGTGCATAAGCGGTCTCGTGCATCATTGGCGATAGAGAGTAGTTCACATGGCGGCCGAAAGTGACAAATTTCAAGCCATCGAGTACACCCGTTTCATATAAATTCTCCATTGCTTCCTGTGCGGTGATCAAAAAGTTCTCGGGCCGGCTGTCTTTTTGTCTGATAGCAGGGTGAGTAACAGGGCTAAATATTGTGTTTGCAATCACAGAAGCTTTCCCCAAAGGCCCAAGATTGTATGCGATAAGTTTCGGTTGGCGAGTCGAAATTGCGGCAACTCTACTCGCAAAAGCTTGCACGTCCGTATTATCCTCGATCGTAAGCGCCGTTCGTAATAATCGGACTATATGGCAATCAAATTGCTTCGCCCTTTCAAATTTTGAGATCCACATTTGATCCTGCCAACTGACAGCCTTCTTGTCGATGAATTGACCAATAATCTTCGTTTCTCCTCGAACATGCACGATCTCCCTAATAGTGTTATCCTCCAACCACAGCGGAATGACAAGATATTCAACTCCGAGGCGTATGGCATGATAAAGTAGCGATATAATGGCGCTGACATCGTTCGACAAAATTTCATCGATGTGGAAGATAATGGGAATCCCAAGAGTTCTCCTAATCCGAGCAACTTCTTTGCTAACTATGGTCAAAATATTAGGGGTTAACATGTCGACTTTAAGCTCTATAGCATCTCCGCCAGAGTCCAGCTGGGGTAAGTCGATCGCTCCGTTGGTAAGGTCAGATAAACTGAGCGGAATCGCATAGGTGTAAGGTCTGTTTTCAGGCGGCAATGCGTCAACAGAGAACGGACTCTCGTATGCAGATTGCTTTGCACCAAGGCCAGTAATTTTATCAAGAAATCGCGAGAAATCTTGCTTGGCATCCTTTAATGCAAATGAATAATTGGGAATCTGTCGATCCTGGGATATCTCCTCTACATGACACTCACAGTTTGAGTCCTGTAAGTTGTAGTACTCAAAGTTAGAACAAGACTGATGTGATTTGTCAGCCTGCTCCAAACGCGCAGCCTCCGAATCCTTCAAGTTGAGGAGAAGGCGTATTCGCGCTGGGTTGCGGAGTATGTGGATAACAGGATGCGTCTCTGCATAATGTCTCAGCGTGTTTTGGGACTCTCTTGCAAGACTAGACATTCCGCATTCTATGATGCTGCCCGTTTCGTTGTCCTCGAGCATCCTTTGCAGAACTTCCACATTTTGCCGCCCAAACTCTCTGCTGCCATACTTTGAGAGGTAGTCTTTTCTTGATAGGCCAGTAACTTGTTGAAAGTACTGGTCTTCAGTTACCAGTCTTCGTCCAAGATGGGTGGCTCCGATAAATGCGAGTGAGCGTTTGCCAGAGCCTCGCGATCCAACGAGGACGATCGTAGCATTGTAGTCAAAATGGCGAGTAGTTTGGTGGAACTTAAGCGCTTCCTCTAGTGGCAGTGCGTTGTTTGATTTGCTTCCATGCCGCGGCCAACTCGGCTTCTGAGACAGGACAACAGACATACCGACTGTCCGATACAATATTATTAGATCCAAGCAATAATGCTGCCTTCGGCTCTGTCGAGATCTCAGCACGTTCTGACGCTGTGGGGTGAAACATCAAATCGTCGCATTGCGTCGTTGCCAGTGTCTGAGGGCGCCTTCCGCATAAATAGTGGTCTTCCAAACGTCGCCAAATGATCGGTGTCGTTTAGATTAATTGCACTGACTGAATAACATCTTGCCTAATATTTGAACTTCAAGTTTTTCTACTTCCAAAGAAGCATGGTCGTCACAAATCTACGCTGATGCCACCAAGTGATGTTGGATAAACTGGATGATTAGTCATCTCGTTGGTGGTGGGTAATCCATTTGCCGGGTTCTCCGCATTGCCATCTTCACGGACCAGCGTCGAACGACGGTGTGCCTGGATAACGATATTCACATCGCCGAACCCTTGGAAATATCAGCTAACAGCCTAGATCCCAATTAAAAAAATTAAACAATATCCTCATACGAAATAAACTTCCAAGCAAGCACCAACATGCGCTGATAATCTAAATCGATTCAATACGCCGCATCCGCGCACCACAAGAGCGTTGCCGAGATTATACCGTTGAAGGGATACCAATACCGACGAACGAAGGCTGCAACGGTGGGAAATCATCAGGAAGGAAACACAATTACCGAATGCTCTGTCCAGGGGCTTCATTAGGAGCTTCTCGCTCTGCGACAATCCACGCGGGGGTTATCTAAAGTTGCGCTGAATTCAGATGCGATGTCAAAACTCCACGGTCAAGTATGAGCAAAGCCGTGGAAGATGTAACGGAAGTTGCAGAGCTTCATACCGTGGCCTCACATGAGTCAGAGGTGCGTGAGGGCCAGGCTAGCCTTTCGAAACCTCCTAAGAAACGAGTCTCCCAAGCCTGTAGCCGCTGCAGAAGCCGCAAGGACAAATGCGACGGAAAGAAACCGACATGTTCGGCTTGTGCTGACGTTGATGAAACCTGCGTTTATGACTCGGCCACTAAAAAACGCGGGCTGCCCGAAGGGTATGTCCGTGGACTGGAAAAGCTTTGGGGTATCTCGTTACGAAAAGCTGATGGCCTCGAGACTACCATATTAAAAATTATCGAGACGGGTGATACAGATCCTCACTCTTTAGCCAAGATATGGAACGACAAAGAAGGGAATGAAACCTTAGTTGAAACTTGGAGGCGGAGTAAAGTTTATCAAGAGCTTGATAGGTTGCTCCCTTTGCTCGATCTTTCGGACGACAAACCAGGGAAAAGAAAGCGAACAGATCCAGTTCCAGGCCGACGGCCAGAGGAAGATCCAAATCTACCATCTTCTATTCAAGCTCAGATTGGACCAGAGCAAAACCCATCACCAGCCTCAACGCTAGGCCACCCAAACGATGCCTTCGCAACGAGCCAGGAAAATTTTGTTCTCAAAAGTTCTATCATTCCACGAGAAATTACCATACCAAGCGCTCCTCCATTGCCCGAGAGGACATGGAATCTCATCGACGTGTATTTCTCATATACTCATTGTTGGTTTCCTATTATAGAAAAACATGAGTTATTAAGACTCTCCTATCAGTACTCACAGAACAGATCGGCATCTTCACCCCACAAGTCGGGGAATTTGGCAGTGCTTTGGGCTGTATTAGCGTATGCGGATCACCAAATCAGAGCGATAAAACCATATACAACAACCAACGGCCTTGATGGTAATTGGACGGTGGCAAGGCTATACGAAGAATCCAAGGCACATATCCCTCCAGAAGAGGGGGATTTTGAGTTGGGCCACGTTCAAGCCCTATTAATACTCACGCTTCTGAACATAGGACAGGGGCGCTGGAGCGGCGCCTGGATATTAATTGGCAAGGCCGTCCGCATTGCTATTGAGCTCGGTTTTAGCCATGCTACAGACAAGAAATGTCTTAGTGCACACGTTCTTCTAGGCTGCTTTGTTCTTGACACATTGGTAGCATTAAACCTCGATCGGATCCCACAGCTCCGCGTGTCAGATATCAGACAAATCGGCACCATTGACGAAGACGGATTAGATGAATGGAATCCGTGGGTGGATTGCCTTTCTCTAGAGCATAATTCTACAGATGGCCGTCGCGGTCCCGCCGCTACTCTGAGCACATTCAACTGCCTGATTCGTCTCACGGCAATCCTCAACAGCATTACTCATGATGAGTCTACTGGGACTGTAAGGGCCCATAAGTGTCAAGAACTGTTGGATGAATTGGGATCTTGTGGCGAAATGAATCCCATCAAATCCATGCCAGCGTCTAATTTTAGCGATGGGACGAGGCCTCCTTTACTGCCTCATCAATACCATCTTCACATCGCACATCTCGGTACAGTAACGGCGGTCTACGCTTATCTGAATGCTTCGGGCAATGGAGAACAAGCTTCTAATGGTGCAAACCTTGGAGTATTAGCTGCCTCCGCTTATAAAACAATGTGGCTCATTGTTCGACACTCAGAAGCCTTCGGACTATCGATAATTCCACCAACTTTCGCTTGTTTTATAAAGGTGATTTTGCGAGGCTTTCACAAAATCCCACAAAGTGCTCTCGACGAGCAAAATCTTACTTCCGCCGAATGGCAGGAAAAGATGTTTCACTCGCTCTCTGCGATGTCTTCAGTGTGGCCAGCGTTTACAACACTTCAGTCCATGTTAAAATCCAACCTTACATCTACGCAAAACCTATCGCAACCTTTACTGCCAAGCCAGCCAGCAATAGACAGGCACATTGCGTCGCGAGACCAAATGATTACGCAATTGGTTCCTCACCCCATTATATCCGACAACCTTTCTAGTTCCAACCTTGATGTCAGGAATGGCGCAAATGGAGCTCATTTTAACAGAACCCTTACCAACAATGCTCCACAAAGCCAAGCTCCTCCGTCTGTAACCTCTACGGATGGCCGGTCTTCGTCTTGGAAGGAACCAACGACCCCTTGGAACCAATTACCCAGCCAGCCCTATGATAAAGTTCTCAACGATGCTAGCTCTGTTGGCACATTCACTTCACACATTGACGGCGACTCAACTTTCAATGAGTTTGCAGCCCTCGATGCCATGGAATGGTGAGTTTTATATCCTTTCTTTTTCTCGCATTTAGATAGACTAATTTAGTTTTATTAGGAATAACAATTGGGACCAGGGTTTGCTCAATTTGGGGTTTACTGAGACAGAAATGATGCGCCAGGACTTCAATAGCTTCTGTCAAGTCCCAGAACCGACGTCGAACGATCTTGTTCAGCAACTGCTGGCAGATGCTGAGGTACCACATCCCCTACTGGGAAGTATACACGGTATATCAGATCCCAGCGTGTTGGAGGCATCCCAAACATTACGATCAATGTTCAAGGGCTGGTGAATAACCACAGGAACCATTCGGATGGCAGCGCGGCCTTGTATTATTATAAAGAATATTCTAAGCCACGAAACGCCTCGCTGTTACTTCTACCAGCCGAGGAACTTGTTCTATATATGACCTTTGTATATACTATATACATGCCGGAGCTTACAAGCAAACAACGCCGTTCATCTCTTCAAATAGCTTACGCAAAACTCAAGTGCAGCCACATATCCATAAGTACCCAAGCCGCAAATCACAGCGACCGCTTTATCTGCCAGGAAACTCTTGTGCCTGAATTCCTCTCGGGCATGCACATTTGTAACGTGGATCTCCACAAATGGAATATTCACACCTGATAACGCATCTCTCAGCGCAACGCTAGTGTGCGTGAATGCACCTGCATTTATGATAATTGCATCGACCTTGTCGACTCTGGCTTGGTGAATGCGGTCTATGAGCAGCCCTTCGTGGTTTGATTGGAAGCACGAGATGGTGACTTGTTTTGAGGCTGTGGAGAGGCTCGTGCAATGAGTCTCAAGCCTAGACTCTACATCGGCGAGAGTTTCAGAACCGTAGAGGTGAGGCTCCCGGGTTCCAAGGAGGTTGAGGTTGGGGCCGTTTATGAGGAGGATGGATTGAGCCATTGTAGAAATGATGGGGACAAATTAAATCAATCTCTCTTGGAAAATGAGAAAGTAAGATAATGATAATGATTATATTAAGCCATTGAGACGCCAGACTCCATCAACGTGCCACTAAACCCCGCAGCACAACCAAAGGGTGACGGTACTCCGTAGCGGCTAAGAACTTACCCGGCTCGTTCACCTCGACCAGGCCCCCACCAAAGCTCACGTGCAATCCCCTCCTACCCAAAGCTTCTGTCCAAGCCTTACCCGTACAATCTACCTTGCAATTCAATTCATTTCATGATATTCCAAATCCAGCCACGTTGATTGAACATGTCACATGGGTCCAATGATACCAAGGCGGAAGCGCCAGGAGCGCTAGGGGAAGCCCAGCTGCTTGAAATCTACGATTTTGCACTTGATCTGGGGCGACGTGCGGGGAAGATCCTACTCGATGGCGTTGATCAAAGGTGCGGGGATGAAGAGGGGAGAGGCCAGAATGAAGTGGATAAGATGAACGCCGTGGATATAGTAACACAGACTGATCTTGGTTCGTGACTCTGTTGTATAATTTATGTGTCGCCGCCAACCTATGAGGCGTTAATTGAGAAAGCACAGATTGCTAATGATGAGTGTGGTTTCTAGACGTCGAGGCTTTTGTTAAGAATGAGATAACTGCGAGGTATCCAAGTCACAAGTAAGGTCCACAATGTTCTGTCCGCTGGCCATAACTAATACCCTTCAGCTTCATCGGCGAAGAAACATATAGCACGGGCAACTCTAAAGAATACCTCGTCACCGACTCACCAACATGGATCGTCGACCCCCTAGATGGGACCGTGAATTACACGCACCTATTCCCGATGTTCTGTGTGTCTATTGCCTTCTGCATATCGGGCGTTCCAGTTATTGGTATCATCTACGCCCCTATACTCGATGTAACATACTCTGCTCTCACCGGGCACGGAGCCTGGCTCAACGATTCCACCCCCTCGTCGCCGGCACCGAGTCATAAGAGAAGACAGCAGCTACCTCTAGTGAGGAATCCGATTCCAGTATTACCGGAGGCAGCACCAAAGGGCTGCGTCTTCAGTTGCGAATGGGGCAAGGATAGGAGAGATGTGAAAGACGGGAATATGTGGAGGAAAGTGGAAAGCTTCTTGACCATGGCAGCAGAGAGCTCTGGCAGGGATGGGAAAGGTGGGATGGTGCATGGCGTTCGCAGCCTGGGCAGGTAAAGTTCACCATTCTACTGCAGTTGAGTTGGAGGCTAATTGGTTATAAGCGCAACTATGGACTTAGCATACGTTGCCACAGGAGCATTCGATATTTGGTGGGAGGGTGGGTGCTGGGAATGGTACAGTTTCTCCATTCAATTCTAGGACTTGGTTCTAATATTCGCAATAGGGACGTGGCAGCTGGTATCTGCATCTTACGAGAAGCGGGTGGCCTTATTACAACTGCGAATCCTCCTTCAGATATTGATACAGATCCCATCGAAGAAGTACGACTAGGGAGCAGATTATATTTAGCCATCAGGTATGCTCACTCCGCACGGTGTGCTTTTGTGATTATTAACTATTCAACAGGGCCGCCGGAGACAGTGCCACCGAGACGGGACGACAAGCGCAGGAACGTGTAGTGCGGGAGACATGGAAGAGGGTGTATAACTTAGACTATTCTCGCCCAGGAGCCTAAACATGAGTAATTTAATTGAAACGATAACATCCATTGTAAACATAATTTCCTTCATTGATAAACACCCCAGTCTAATTCTTGCTAAATGTATGATCGTACTTTCGTAACATATAATAATACTAATGGCCTTGCCTTTCCGCCAACACAGCGTGTATCATACTCTTCACTTTCTCCACCGGCATGTCTGACAACTGCTTTCCCGTCCAATATTTCGCTTGCTCGAAGCCTTGCCAAATCATTGCCTCTGTTCCTGGAACCACCTGCCACTTCGACTCTGTCGCAATTCGACTCACAGCAGTATTTGATGATGGATGGTAGCACATCTCGAGTAGCACCCCACTATCCCCGTTCATCATAGTCTTTATCATTTCTCGTACTTCCTTCTCCGCATCTGTTTGGGGCGGAAAGTCCGGAATCGCAGATACGATGACAGAGGGTTTAGCAAGGGATTGCGCATGGGCAGCAGAAGTGATTGGCACTAGATTTTCCCCAAAACCAGCCGCTTTGCATTCCGCAATAACAGTGGCAACCTCATCCGCATCACGATTGATAAAGTATACCGGTTTGCACTCCAGCCAATGCACCAGTGCGTAGACAGCAGCACGACTTGTTCCTCCGCCTCCAATAATACACGCCGGGCGGCCTTTCAGCGCAGTATATTGCTCCTCCGAAATGTTTTGTCGGATACCTTCGCGGACTCCGATGCAGTCGGTATTTGTGCCAACTAGGAGCCTTCCTCCCGCAGTCGTCTCTTCTAGAAATACGGTGTTGATAGCACCAATCGCAGCTCCCTCGGGGGTGAGCTTATCAAGATATGGAATGATAGCGACCTTGTGGGGCATGGTGACGGAGGATCCGATAAATTTTGGATCCTGCATGGCTTCGAGGAAGGGCGGAATAGAGAGGGATTCATGGAACAGTTGGGACCATTTCAAAGAGAAGGAGTCGTATATCGCTTGGTGGAAGAGGGGAGATAGAGAGTGGGAGATGGGATGTCCAAAGAGGTATGCGACCCGGTCAAGGTGGTCGGTGTTGTGACGAGGTTCATCGTCGGTGATGTGGTCAGTGGTTAAACCGATCGCCGTTGGAGGTTGGACCAGTGTTGAAGTCATCGTCGAAGAGGAAACAGAAGCCATTGTGATATTAGGCCGTAGTTTGCACGAAGGAAGAGTGGAGGGGAGCTTGCCCAGAATATATCAAACGCTTAAAGGCAAGTGGTTGCAATCACCGGGGAACTCATGGCGGGGCTTTCTTCGTCGGGTTTATCAAAGGGATCAGGATTGATGCGGTATGGAGACACTATGGTGATCACCGTTCCCCGTGTATCCGCAGCAGTGGATAATTATTTCAAGTTGATAAGACCACCGACAGATATCCTCAAAACTTTGGCCTGAGGTTTCGGATTTGCTTGGTGTTCGGGTGGGGAGGCGAAGTTAGTCTTTGCCGGCGGCAAATGATTCAGCCCTTATGCTAGCGCCACCGACACCGCGGTTCGGCTGAACCATGGAGATTGTGGGGAAACCAGCGCTTTCCCCACATGTATGCTGCACATGGTAAGAAAATTGCAGATCCATAGTGAAGAAACGGTAGGCAAATGAAGTTTCTCCGTGGTAATCGTCCCGTTTGTATAATGGCCAGGAGCGTTTGCGGGGACGGAACTGGGGAACCCTTGCTACAGCTTCCCCTCTCTCCACATCTATAAGACTTTCTTCTTAGCCACTGAAATGTTTTGGATTTGACTCTTTCTTCCCTCCTTATTACCAACACACTCCATTCTACAGAGAGTCAGAACCTCTTGCTACAACCGATCGCTACAGGGTCAGCATACACCACTCACCATGGGCATCCTCACTCTCCGCGAGGATAGGCCAACGCCTCCGGCTGTCTACAACTGGCGAGTCTACTTCTGTGCGACAGTTGCAGCCTTTTGTGCTGGTGCGCTTCCCTGATTGACTCTTTCGAACTTACGTAGATGGCTAACAGACAGACAGTTATGATCGGATATGATTCGGCTTTTATCGGCGGCACAATCGCACTCCCATCTTTCAAGGAAGAGTTCAACTGGCAACAGTACAACAAGAGTCAGTCTGACACTGTGTCAGCCAACATCGTCTCTACGTATCAAGCTGGTGCATTCTTCGGGGCCTTCGGAGCGTATGTTGTCGGCCACTACTGGGGCCGCAAAATTGGACTTCAGATCTTTGGTGCAATCTTCATCCTTGGCTGTGGTTTGATGCTGGGTGCCAACGGCAGCCGCGGACTTGGCCTGATATACGCTGGGAGAGCCTTAGCCGGAGTCGGCGTTGGAGGCGCTTCCAACTTGACCCCTATTTACATCTCGGAATTGTCGCCACCAGCCATCAGAGGTCGATTGGTCGGCCTCTACGAACTCGGATGGCAAGTCGGCGGACTTGTTGGCTTCTGGATAAACTACGGAGTCCTCAACACTATGCCCGCTAGCCACGAACAATGGATTGTTCCATTTGCGATCCAGCTTGTCCCAGCCGGCATCATGTTCTTTGGCCTGTTTTTCATCAAAGAGTCTCCCCGCTGGCTCCTCGGCCGTGGCCAACGCGAACTAGCTCTTCGCAACCTATGCTGGATACGAAATCTTGACTCTAAAGATATATACATCATCGAAGAAGTTAGCGCCATGGACACTGCGTTGGACCACCAAACGGCAACCGTCGGCCTAGGCTTCTGGCAACCATTCAAAGTCCTTGGCCGCGACAAGAAGGTCCAGTATCGCTTCTTTTTAGGAACTGCTCTATTCTTCTGGCAGAATGCATCGGGAATCAACGCAATCAATTATTACAGCCCCGTTGTTTTCAAAAGCATTGGTATCGTTGGGACGAACACTGGCCTGTTCACTACTGGCATCTTTGGCGTCATCAAAACAGTTTTCACCTTCGTATGGCTGTTGTTCCTTATCGATAAGATGGGCCGACGCGATCTCCTGATGTATGGAGCCTTCGGAGGCTCCCTCTGCTTGTGGTATGTGGGAGCCTATATCGCTGTGGCCGATCCAGCGAACCATCCAACCCCTCAGTTAAGCAGTGGCGGCATTAGTGCCATGTTTTTCTTCTACCTTTGGACGGCATTTTATACACCATCCTGGAATGGTACCCCCTGGGTCTACAACTCCGAGATGTTTCCCCAAGATGTGCGGACACTCGGCCAGGCCTGTGCAGCTGGTAGCAACTGGGTGCGTATCTAACTTTACTCCCATATACAAGCTTGATGCTAACTTATGCAGTTCTGGAACTTCATTGTTTCCCGCTTCACACCCCAAGCATTCACAGCCATGGGCTACGGATTCTATTTCTTCTTTGCTTCACTTATGCTGTTCAGTGTTGTGTTCGTTTGGTTCCTTCTTCCTGAGACCAAGGGTGTCCCACTCGAATCCATGGACCGCCTATTTAGCAAGGACTTGGAACCTAGAAAAGCTCACAAGGTCGTTATGGCAGAACTAGAAAACGAGGTTGAGCAATTTCGTCAGAATTTGGAGGGGAGCAACATCGACATCATGAAGGATAAGGGCATTACGCATGTTGAGGAAGTTTAATGCAATTCCTTAGCTGCCAACTGCCAAAGCGGCAGGCACTGCTTCACAATGTTGGTTTGCTTCACGGCTGGGTGGGGCCAAGTTTTGGCCTGCAGTCGTTTGTATCATTTGTTTCTGCAGGGTGGTGACGGCGTGTAGTGCCGTGTAGTGGAGTTTCTGAACAGTTATTGCGTTTACGGTTGGGATGTTAACTATAATGTGCAAGATACCCCCAGGAGTACCAACTGCAGCCATTGGGCCCTGGTGTACAGGAAGGAAATAGGCCGCTAGTTCATTTATTTAATTGGTATAGAAATGCCAATGTTTAAATTTGCCATTTGCTGGTGCTGCAGGAGTGAATTCTACCAGGAGTGAATTCTAACGATGATGCTGAATTATCGAAGTGAGTGGGTTCGCTAGCAAATAATTTTCGCAGGAGAACCACACTCACCAGCCCCTGTGTGCCGATGTCGCGACAGACAAAAATACTTCTCTCAAAGATGGGTTATATCATAATTATGGCCTAATCGTGGGTGGAAGCAAGTGCGAGCTTCTAGGGCCAAATTTTCAGGTATCTTTACATAGTAAATTATATGTAAAAGTACAAAACGTCAATAAATTGTAATAATTACTAATCTTATGCTATTTCTAACACAAAAGTACATATAAATAATAACAAACCTTCTAAATAACTTTATTAAAAGAGAAATAATAATACACTAATATACATTATTATCTATACTAGAATATCTAAAACTTAATGGTTATATAAAAGTGTTAATTAATAAAAAGGCTATAGGATTGCTCTCGTTTTAAAACGCGTTTTTACTAAGGAAAGCAAAATTACTATGTAATTTGCAAACTCTATGTCACTTTACAACTAATTTACTATGTAAAGATACCTGAGAATTTGGCCCTAGATACGCGCAACTTGCTTCCACCCACGATTGGTCTAATTGCGTTTCTACGACCCTTGCTCGATGCATAGCGTAGGCATATAGCCCACTCAAAAACCTGGGGATTGCTTTCACCTAAGTTGCCTGAAGCTCATGTTCGTATGGCAATACTGAGGTCAAAGCTGCCGGCCATGGCGGACCAAGCGCGCACGGAATATGCGTGGTGGGGCAGTAATGGAGTGGTAATGGCTCAGGGATCCTGTCTTAGCGCAGTTTGGCGGATAATAATTCCTCGCAAGGGATAAGTATTTTGCCGCTGTCGGACCCTTGCTCATAAGCCTCAATCGGTTCAATTCGGAAAGTACGGACGTCATTTCATGACCCCGGGGTCAACATATTGCCATAACAAGCGGCAAGCGGATGAGAGTTCTCTGACTGTTAAAAATTGTGAGCAAGAAAGCGGGGGATAAGAAATGACAGAGCTCTACCGCAACTTGGGCAGTGGGATATATAATGTGTAGTGGGGAAGCAAATACAAGAAGATTTCTTGTTCTGGTTCCTAATTATCATTTTTTTTTATAACGCATCAAATTGTACTGTCCTTGGCAGTGAAGAGTTGCTACGCTGTATTTACAACCCAATATCGAATAGGATTATTTACCATTACATTTTCCTCGCATTCGATTTATAATTTCTCACTTCACACCTGCTCCGACATACGGATATATTTATATCATACTAGAGCTTCAGTTATTCTCTACATATCGTTTTAATATACAAAATGAAACAACCCTCCGAATCACACAGCCCCGTGAGCAGTTTCAGCGCCTCGCACATTCCGGATGCATCTCGCACTGCTGCTCCCTCCATGAAATCCAGCATAGCGACCCTATCCCTAGGCCGTGCTTGGGTGCACAACCTCGACAATAAAATTGAACGAGCCGCAGCCCACAACTTCGATGGTATCGAACTTTTTTATGAAGACCTCGAATACCTCGCCAAGTCCCTCCCAGGTGGTGCAACGCCCGCCAATCGCCTTCAAGCCGCACAACAGATCCGCTCCATATGTGATGATAATTACCTCTCTATTATTTGCATGCAACCGTTCATGCACTACGAGGGTCTACTCGACCGTGTTCGACACGCAGAGCGTATCGAAGAATTTAAGTTCTGGCTCCAGCTGTGCAAAATCCTCGGCACAGATCTTATTGGGATGCCGTCGAACTTCTTAACTGAAGGTGTGACGGGCGATTGGGATTTGTTGATCGCTGATATGAGGGAAGTGGCAGATCTAGCGGCGCAGGAAGGCGTGCGTATCGCGTATGAGGCGCTCTGCTGGGGCGTGTTTGTGGATACATGGGAGCGCAGTTATGAACTCATCATTGCCGTTGACAGAGCAAATTTTGGGATTTGCTTGGATACATTCCAGATCTGTGGACGTGAGTTTGCGGACCCCGCGGCAGATGATGGCTGCATGCCGGGTGCAGAGGAGGCGCTGAGGAATAGCTTGAAAAGGTTGAAGGAGACGGTGGATGTGAATAAAGTATTTTTTGTCCAGGTAGCGGATGCGGAGAAAATGAGAGAGCCTTTGCGGGAGGAGCATGTATTTCATGTCAAGGGGCAGCCGTCAAGGATGAGTTGGAGTCGGAATGCGAGGTTATTTCCTGGAGAGATGTCAAAGGGCGCATATTTGCCAGTATTGGACGTGTTAAGAACACTCATAGGGGAGAATGGGTTAGGATATAGTGGCTGGGTTAGCTTCGAAATTTTCTCGAGATCTCTGGCAGATCCGGCTTCAAGGGTTGTGGAGGACCATGCGAAGAGAGGGATGCAAAGCTGGAACTGGATGGAGAAAGAATTGGGTTGGAGGCGAGATACTGAAACTAGGCGATGATATCGCTGGGAACTGGAAAGTAAAGCTTGGTCGTGCGCTTGAAGTCCAGCATTGTTTTGCGGCTCTTCTACCATTAGTGTTTTCATGACGGCAAACATTGTTAATACCCGCGTAGTTTATAATAAATATGAATAAATATGAATAAATTAAAGACTCCTAATATATTAGAGCTTTTCACCCCTCTGATTACTCAAAATATTAAGATAAAAGAGAAGAAATTCTTTAGATTTTAATGGCGCCTATTAATTCTCAGTTGAACACAGTTGCCGCTTCAGACGTGCATGTGGCATATCTCGTGGCATAAGTGCCGGGGTAGTCCACCTATAATTCTACCCATGTTGACTCACAGAACCCATTAACAGCATCAACACAACAACATATCACTATGGAACCTCCGCACATCCTCAACCTCCCTGGAGACATCCTGTACAAAATATTCGCCCACTTCCAGTGCGACAAGATACACCGAGGCTTATTCGATGAGTCCATGTATGATGACGACCCCCAAACCGTCAAGATCAAACTCCAAACCATCAAGGCCGCAAGGCTTGTGTGCCGCCTCTTCAACCTTTTTGCATCACCACTTCTATGCTCTACTCTTCGAGTACGACTTGATCATGTCTCCCTTGACTTTGTAGATAAAGTTTCCGAGAGCCCTCACATTGCTGATGGCGTTTACAACATTGAGATCGTGGTAGATTACTGCCCAAGAGAACTTGCCACAGATCTGTTGCGGTTTGGGAAGTTTCGAGTCGGGGAACTAGTAAATCGCATTCGTGGATGCTGTGCATATACTATGTGGGAAATAGAAGTCAACGGTGAGGGCCATGAGGATAACCCCGACTATCCACACGAGGACTACCAGCAGACAATTGAGTACTGTGAAAAGTTACGTTCAGCATGGCTTCAGTATGTCAAAACTGCAGACAAGGGATCTATGGATGCTATAAGTCTTGAATTTCTACATCTTTTAATCCAAGGCCACCAAGAATATATCCAAAAGCATGAGGAGCAATTTCAACTAATTACCAATGGATCGTTTATCGAGAGGCTCATATCAGCAATGTCCCGAATGGCGCACTGCAGCTCCGTCCACTTTATTGACGACGTAGATTATTATTCTATGCCAGAGAACGTCAGTCCACTTGCTTTTCGAGACGACGCACGGGAGCTCTCTCGATTCATGACATCGCCGCTATCGTGGGATTATATTAACCACCTACAAGGAGGAGCTGAAATCCTGCCAGCAAAGTTACTCTGGGGGTTACCAATTGCCCTCTATGAAGCCGGGTTAACACTACGAGCGATGCTCATTCGAACTTTTCCTCATCCGAACTGTTGCCCTGTGAGTTATCCGACAACATGGACCAACCTCTACGATGCATGTCAACATCTCAACGTATTTATCTTAGAGCGAATGAACTTGAATAATTCAACTGGGCCATTTGATCCGACCCCAAGAAGAGAACAGGCTCTTATTGAGCAGTATATTGGGGCCGTACTCTCCAGTGAAGTTCTAGAAGTCATAAAACTCCGTTTCTTCGACTCCACCAGTACCACGGTCTCTTACCGCGTCGGTTTACTCCCTAAAGCAATCAACTGGCCGCGCATTAAAAAGCTCACTATCGCACACATTTCGTTATCTCAGGAGGAGCTCGAGATTCTTTGCAGTGGGCTGGGCTATATGCTTGAAGATCTCTATTTATACAAAATAGATTTGCGAAGCGGGAACTGGGCAAATGCCCTAGACATGTTACGTCAAAGGGTCCCAAAGAATCTCCAGAGAATGAGACCTCCATATTTTTCTGAGCTCACTGGGGGGGAATTTGGGAAGGGAAACAGACATCTTGTTGAAGGGTCTCTGGATTATGTCTTTAGGGTCAAGTCCAAAAATCCAATAAGAGGTACAAGTCACAACGTGTTGTAAACCATCAGATGGCGTGTGCCGGAGCATAAAGAGGTTATAGATGGCACATAGGGCTCAGTTTTCTTCGGAATGGGCGATTTCAGCAGCAACGATTATATCATTCAATTATACAAATACATGAAACCAACTAACTCATCAGTGTTCACATAGCCATGCAACCCCTCAGAGGAAGCATTTAATACCGTCGAGTATGATGAGTGGCATGCGGATGAGGACCGCTAGACGTTGACACCTCGTGTAGTATTTTCTCAGTTGTATCTGCTCAGGCCCAAAGACTGAAGTGGAAATTGACCACGTCGAGATTCCAGTATCGCTCCAATAACCATGGAAATGTTACTCCAACACAGCCACTGTGGCATGATCCGACATAATGCGGTTTAAGCCGTCCCGCTGGATACACTGATCGAACTGGAAGCTCTTTGCTAATAGTTCTAGCTCGTCAAAGCTTTTATCTTTGAAGAGCTCTGCAAACTCCATCTGCAGCGAATCACTCAGAAATGTCTGCAGAATTGCGCGATCCAGATGCTTCTGCGTATTCCATGAAGTCGGATACAGATCTTTTGCTGTTGGTGACACCTTATCAACCCATTCAATCAATGGCTTCATCAGGTTATCCACTTCCTCGGAGGGATATTTTCCCCATGAGTCGAGCTGGAGCCTCTTCTTCTTCTCAAGGAACGGAGCAATAAGCTTGTTCCAAGGAGAATCCGGAGAGGTATGGACCATTCCCTGGAGGCCGATATCCTTGTACAGCCAGATGGTCCAAGAAATCTGCGCCTTATCGTAAATCTTCATCTGTTCGCCGAGGAGCTCATACCGTCCTTGGTTGATTTTCTCTGCTTCTGGCTCATACCGCGGGTTGGCGTACACTGGACCAAACTCGCCATTCCAAATTGCCGTCTTGTTTTCACGATGGAACTCCGTCTTTCTTGCATATTGCCTGGCAAGTATAGCCTTCTGCTCGTCTGTGCCAGTAAACGGGCGCCCGGTTGGAAAGCCCATCATACTATAATCGTGGAGCGCATAGACGCAATTCGGGAGAACCTCATCAAATCCGCGGAACTCCATTGCGAACGTGTTTCCATCCAGCCAAAGAATGTGGTCTGGGTCTATTTTCCGGATTGCCTTCTCAATACGTTTGTAGAAGGCTGGGAGACGAACGTGCTGCGGGTCACACGGCTCATTAATGGGGTTATAACCGGCAATCCAGGGGTTTCCCTTGTATCGCTCGACGATTTGCTCCCAGAGCCATACAGTGCGATCTTGGTGGTCCTTGTAGTCCCAAAATGCCGCGTACGGAGTAGCATTGTCAGAGTGCCATCCCGGGTTTTGACCACCTGGTAGCGTATGCATATCCAGGATTGTATAAATGCCTTGTTTGGTGCACTTTCATATGTTAGTATCATTTATATATTGGGAGAAGGTTCACTGACAAGTTCGATGGCTCTGTCGAGATGCTTGAACCCCTCCTCTTTTAACACTCTGGGATTCATGTCATCTTCGAAATGGCGGTAGTTGAACGGAATCCGAATACAATTCAGACCCAAGCTAGCAAAATACTTTGCATCACCTTCGGTGAAGAAGGCTTCGAGCCACTTGTCAAAGAAGAAATCGTATTTCTCCTTCCCCAAAACTTGGAGCATTGCTGCACGATGTTGTGATTCGTGGCCAGGATATCCCGTGATGAAATTCTCCATGTTAAGCCATCCTCCCAATCCTGCTCCTCGTAAAATGACTGTCTTTCCATTTTCGTCGACCACATTGGTGTCTTTAACTTTAAGAATTCCGGTAGCCATGATTACTGTAACAATTGAATATACGTTGTGTGGTGAAATTTGTAAACTATCCGCTATCGAAATTTGTCACACGGTAGAATTTGTATGGCAGCTGATTCCAGAGCGAGCAGTCAGTTTTATAAACATCCCCCTCATACAGAACATTCCCCGCATTCCCCAACTTACGCACGACTAGGCCGGGTAAACTCGAAAGTCCGTCTCTAACGCAGTCTGTGGGCCCGGTAAAATGCAGCTTTGCGACAAGCGCAGCTAGTTGCAAGTCGCATTACTAAACTTCCTTGGCGCCCAACGACTCGAGAGCTCCTTTCTATCAGGCGAATGACGTACCAAAGCAACAATTCTGAACTACAGTGTGCAATTAAGACTTGGATTACGATTTTAATATAAGGTGCAATTCTTGGTTGTAATATTATCTATCACTATAACTCTCTCGTCTATAAGAATTAAGTTATAATAAATATTAGCATACCCATATTTTATTCTCATGAATCCACAATCATGATAACTTTATAAAGCCGTTCATATTGCCGCCAATCAGCACCTTCTTAGTCCAGCAAAGTGAGCAGTCCACTCTTCGTTCACATCCTACAATATTAGGTTAGCCAATATATCGTCACGTCGGATCCAAACCAAAGACGCCAAGAATCAAATGGCCAGCTCTTACCTCAGAAGATACCTCTTCGGGAGTCAGACATGGCTGCCAGAGAGTATGAGTAGAAGGCATGGCCAGCAAAGTGATGCGCAACTTCAACAGCTGTTTTGTTCATGAGCACTTGTGAGACAACGACGAGAGGCATAACTGACTAATTAATCGTGGAAAACAATAGTGCTGAGGCATGAGCAAGATCAGGGTTGGGACCGGAAGTACTGCCTATTATACGCTCACACGTCGTTGGCTATGGATGTTTGAATGCAATTATCGGCTCTCAGTAAGTCAGAGATATTTTTTGGAGTTGAAGGGCACCAGCATATCCCCCCCTCACTTTGTGTGACACAGATCTCTGTAGGACAATATTATTCAGCGGTTGCATTGTGCAACCATGCTCTGCAACACCAGCTCTGAACGAATCAAAACCCCAGCGACTGTAGCAGCAATAGTTTATTATCTAAGTCTTCATCCACTCGTTATCATTATTAACAGAGTATATGGAAGCAGTCTGCTTGAGAACGACATCCTTCATATACCCCTCAAAGCCGCGTCCGATCGTGCCAAATGGGGCCTCTATGGCAATAACAGCCGGCTTTAGTCCGTTCGCAAGCAATCCGAGTATAGTCTGAATCTCCGTCGTCGAGGCTTCTCCTCCCTCGGACTTGACGGTCAGGAACGTCTGCGTTCCAGCGCCAATCAGGCTGACCTCCGTCCATGAGCCGACTGGGAACGAGTAATCGACTGAATACGCCTCTCCTCCGGTACTGAGAATCACCTGCTTCGAATCGCCATTCCCGGTAGTGAGAATCGAGTCTCTGCCAGTGACGAGAGCACCAGACTTGTCGCTGGTGGGTTTAATAGAGAAAGAGAGGGTGTAGTTCCTGCCCTTGCTCTGGAGTGGGGTCTCAATGTAGCAGTTCCCGTCGAATTTGACCTCGGAATTAGAGATCGAACATCCATAGAGGGTAGCATGATACACATTCCCTGAGTAGTCGTTGATTTTCCCAAGGTTCTTGGGATGAGAATCAAACTTGTAGTGGGCAACCGTATCCGATCGGGAAGGAATGTTACGGTCGAGGTTCTGCGCTGGAATGGCGGCATGGATCATGTCGAAAACACCCTCGTACTCTTCAAGAGTGAGGTCTCCGCCCCACTGCTTATCAGCAAGACCGGGAAGTGCATCTCTCCATGCGTAATATGCCTCTGAGACGGTGGTAGCGTTGGGCCCCAAATCGTTCCACTGGGCCGCAATGTGACCTAGAACTCCAGGGTGGTCCCGCGGAGGGTTATTTGTTGCGTCTCTTGAATCGAAGATATTTGGTGCATACGCTCCACCAGCAGGATTTCCAGCGAAGGCGCGAGTCAGATTGAGAGACCTAGGATAGCTGTTTACTGCAGACTTTCCTACTATATAGAATGCATCATCTGAGTTGACCATGTTAAACCCCTTGTTAAGGTAGTCGGGTAGTGCGTTGTCCATCCCGCCAGTCCAGTGCTGAATTGTAACATCTTTATTAATATCAGTTTGGCCGGGCTCTCGTGGGAAGGTACCCCAACTGAACATCTTGCGGGGTGGCGACTGTGCAGACATGAATTTATACATATTGTTGACAAAATCGATGTAGACATCAATAAAGCCCGAGTCATATTCGTCGGCTCCGATATGCACCGTGTCAGAGTAAAACCAAGGAAGGAATGTCTCCCAGATAGATTGCACAGCAGGGAGTGTCTCGGGATGGCTCAGGTTAAGCATGCTGATGTCGTGATCAAGGGCTAGCTGGGGCTTCCACTGAGTGATTGCGAGGGCGTGACCTGGCGTCTCGAGTTCAGGAAAGACAGTGACACCTCGCGCTGCACACTTTTCCTGAATATCGTCAAATACCGCGCGCGTGTAGGACTCATTTGCGGGCGAGCTAAGGTCGGCAAGCGCAGGGTTGTCAGACGGCAGGCGGAAGCCATGGTATACGTTGTTGCCGAATTCTTCACTGTGCTTAGTAAAATCAACAGGGAGGTTGTCAGATAGATGGAGTTGAAAGGTATTATGCTTAAAGAATGATAAATGCGAGCACATATCGACCAAAAATTCTGGTGTATAGTAGTGGCGGGCGATGTCAAGCCGTGGATTCTTAGTGTAAGGTAGGTTATGAACTTCTGTGAACGTACCATCACTCCCCGAGTCCCCCACCCTGGGCTATCAACACCGGTTCCATACGGGATCTTATTGTCGCCAACAGCGGCCGCTTGGAGGACAGAGCGAGTTCCCCACCAAGTCCCGAGAGGAGATGCTCCAGCAATAGTAATTCCCTCTTTTGTTACCGAGAGAGAATACTCTTCAGAAGAAGGACGTCCAGCAACATCACTGAACTTGGTATCAGAATCAATTGTCAAAAAGATCGAGCCCTTTTTAGGTTTTGTCGCCATATTCCAGAGTAACATGGCTACCAAGAGCGGGTTGAAGATCTCCCTCAAAAGTTTTGGCGAATTCGGCGAGTGTTGGGGGATGAGCGTGCGCCCGTTTTTGTTGACAGTAGATGCAAACCGCTTGCCAACAATGACCTTACGGACACTGTTGAGAGGGAGTTTCTCCCCTGTAGAAGCCTCCTCAAATGGAGTCGATGGGATAGTCAGAAGCCGCCCATAGCCTAATTTACGTCGTCAGCCAGCTGAAAGTCTCATAATATGTGCACATCCACGACATGAATAAGGCTTCATATTGGAGACGCTATTGTAGGGAAAGAAAATGCATACTGGAGGAGGTTAACGATAAGACGGCCACCTTGAGGAGGCCATCTCTAGTAAAAAGATGCATGGTTGGAGATGATGGGAACGACTTGCTCAGCAGTGCATGTTCTAGGCCATTGGATCAAAGTGCTGACATGAAATAGCTAGGCTTTATGGTTCTTAAGCGTGCGCGCTGGGCCACGAAGATGCAATTATCTCCATTGGCCCAGAATGCAACGTTGGCAGAAGAGCTGTGCTTGCTCCATGATGGTTTTAACAAGCTCTGGAGAAAATCAACATGAGCCTAGTAACTAGCACTTGCATCTTCACGAACGATCGTCTTCTTGCGTGCCCTATATCTATAACTTCTGCGGCATCTGTTCCGGGGTACAGTAGCTAAAGCTACGAGAGTGGCTGAAGGGTGGTTCAACTCCACCATCGGGGCTCCCAGTGGCCAAAGCACCTCTTCTACGTACACAGGAATCAAAAACGACTACAATGCTTCTAGTAGCTAAAGATCATGCGGGGCCAGAGTCAGTGTCAGTGCCAGGTGGTGGTCAACTCACATTCCTGTCGTGGTAATAAAACGCAGTGGGAAATCGGGGATATTCACCATTGTCCACTTTTCACGAGAGATAACCAGTTGCAACCGAACCATCCCCAACCCCACACTACTCTCCGACGCAGAAGACAAGATCGACAAGCTTGGGAGAAACTTCAGCCGAACTCGCTATAAACCCCCACCCGCCGTCGTACACAAGCAGTAACTGAGCTGCAAGAGTTGTGATAATAGGGTTAGTGTTGCCAGCTAACGACGCCTGCCCAACGATGCTACCGCGCGACTACAGCCGAGTCGTTTACTCCGCACTTCATTAATCATTGCAACGTTGTTGAAGAACTGCAACGGAAAGACGGACGGGATGGAATTTGGAGCTGTTAGTGGCAGGAGATACGACATGATATCATGGCCGAGATCCTCTGTGCAACAGATTTCATTTTGCCCAGGTCGAGACTGTTCGTCTATCGTCCGGGTGTTTGGGATAGTAGGCCCGAAGAATTTCAGTTTGAATAAACGCTGTCATCCTGTATGGCAACAGCAATAGAATGTCCACGCTTTATTAATTAATTCTACTGCTATTTGTTTTGTAAGAAATGGCAGGCACCATTTCCCTGTGCCAGCATCATCCGTTCGTCAGATTAGCATATCGTATTCCCTGAGCCTCCCCGTCCATAATCCCGTTTCAATGATCGCTAGCAAAAAACCTCCTCTAAACTCCTCGCTGTTTCTTTTTTCAAGAATGAAAACCGCCGCCCGTATCCACCATGCGCTATCGCCCTAAAATCAGGCAGATCAAAGAAAAGCTTCGCGCCGTCCCGTTTGCACGGGACCACAATCTATAAAGATATGTACAGATCCTCCTCCTTTGACACACCCGACTCCGATCTCCCCGTCCGATACCCTTCCGGGGAGTTTCGCGCGAGCCGACACATTACTCGCTGATCTGATCCAATACTTCTTGATCGATCATCGCTGTAGAGAAAACAAGTTTAGCTTTAGTCCATTGTATCGAGGAACATGGGCCTAGCTCCGACTTCTCTTGCGTAACCAATAAGGAATGTCCGGAGGAAAAACCACTCTAAGAAAATAGGAAAATACTCACTTATATCTTCATTTGCCTCAGCCTCCTCCGAAACACTCACGACCCTGCTCACAAGCTCTACTCCAACAATCGCCCCCTCAGCGTTCGCTTCCACCCTTCCAATCCCATTCTGCATGCCACCAGCATTGGCTCCACCTTCGCTCATCCTCAGCACAATAACTCGAATCCTCCAATTCCCAACCCTCTCGATCCTCAGATTGCGAAACACGAAACCCACTCCCGAGCCGTCACTGAGGGTCGTGGCAGGGACCGCGAGGGTGCCAGTGAGGTCATCGCCGCTTACTCCCGATATATCCGCGATAGCGGACTCAATGCTTGCGGGGACGAGCGACGCGACGGCCATGAGGTTATTCGCAGTCAGGGAGGGATCGGGGGTGGGGGTCTCGCGGAGGATGAAGGTAGGTGGCGGGACGAGGGGGATAGATGGAGGCGTAGTGGGCGGTGGTTGGATGGTGAAGCTGTAGAGGTGTGGTGGAGTCTGAGACATTGCGGCTGGTGGGCTTGCGCGTTTGGATGAGGTGATAGACCTGTCTCCTAGTAGCTTCGGGGGGCGGGATCCTATTTCCGGGTTCCGGTGCGGTGGCTTCTTTCAGATAGTGAGGGTGCGTGTCTCAGGTCTCTTTTGAGTCCGGGTCCTAGCGCGTGAGGCGTCTTGAATCGGCGGTGGCAGAACAGATAAGGTGTGGAAGCTTTTTGACGTTGAGAAGGATTTCTTCGCGGGTCCAAGCAGACGTCTGATCTCTCCTAAAGCTTCCGTCGTGCGTCAAAGTGCTCAGTTGGATGGATATTATGTCTGTGGCAGGTTGACGACGATGTGAAGCCTCGACTAAAACCGAAGGAAGGGCGATGTGTACGGAAGGTGCAAACAATATGGTCAATGCATAAAGAGGAAGGAACGAACGAACATATATACAAAACTCTGCGCCCAGGCTCACCAAGAGAGCCAACAAATGGTCCTAAGCGGAAGAGGTCGATATCAGCTACGTGACTTTATAATATAGAACCTGTCTCGGCGACGTGGAAGAAAGGGAAGTGAGGCGTCAGCTTGGGCATGGTCACAACGGTGCGGGATACCACCCCCAATCACGCCCAATCCCAATAGACCGGTGATGGGAGTATTGGGGGCGATGGGAGTTATGGGGGTAATTGGGGGGTGATGGGGGCGGCGCGACATCGGGAGCTCAAAAGTGCCAGAGAACGGACGGAGGGTATTGCATAAGAGCATGCACGATCGCCGATCGACGATGAGGTATGCGGGATCAGCAGCATGGACCAGGGATACCATGTTCTGCTCATTACCACCACACGGCCGCCCTACCAATCAGTGCGTCAACACGGCGCGAGACAAGGCTTGGGCTCAGCCTTCCCGGGGTCATGAGGTGGAACATTTCAACAAAATTAAACGGGTCCCAGCTCCCAGCTGTACCAAATTACCGATGGGATGGGGCGGGATGGGGTTACATGGTGCCATATTGTAGCTTACCATACGGAGTATTTTATCGTATTGTACGAATTATACTGCATATACTGGACTGTAGTGGGCCAGTTGGGGGTGCAAAGTGGATGGTGGGAATTGCCAAGGTCCGGTAATCTTGGGGGCTGTTCTCCGCTCTCCTTAATTATGACAGGCACGGCTTACACACATCGAGCCCCTTTACTTCTTAGACAGCCTTGCACTTGACAGCTGAAGAACCCAGTCGGACACTCCCCAATCCATCCTGTTGGAGTCGAGAAGCCAGTCGGATCTTTCCCATTGCATCACTGTCTTGCTCCAAGTACACTTTATCCAACAATAGCTATTCCAAATATACTAAACAGACGCGCAGTCGCTGTGGCACGGCAAACCCCATCGTGTGCAAAACTTACTCTATACTCTATCCCAAAACCAAAACACCAGGTAAAACCAATATGTACAGCTCTGAAAGACAAAAAGAATCTCACCCGGAACGGCCACTTTCCGGAACCACCTTACTTTACAACGAGTTCGATGATGAATGGCTCGATACCTTCGTCAACGGCGCCCCGGCCTCATCATCTTCGATCGCCTCCTCGGGCACTTCCGTCGAAGGCAAGACCCTGCCTAGCACTCCACTTCCCTCCTCCGGTTCACCCTCCTCGCTCACACTCTCCACCGCCAAACCCCCCAGCGTCTCCGCAACCTCCATCGCAATACTCCCTTCTCTTCCAATGCTTCTTGTTCTTCCAGTGCTGCCCAGACTCTCCATGCTCCCTTCTCTCCCCATGCTCCGTTCTCTCCCCATGCTCCCCTCCGTCCCCGAGCTCTCTTCCCGCCACAGATTAGGCCCCCCCTCGCTCCCGCTTACTGCCGGTGCACTGCTTCTATCCATCACCAGCCTGTCCACCGCCAAAGTCGGGCTGGACGGCAAATAAACCCCCTCCAGAACCCTATCCACGACCCTCTCCACAACCCTCATTCCGCTTCTATCTTCAGCCACCTCGTCAGCCGCAACCGCCTCACTCGTCAAATCTCCTGATAGCGTTGGTGTAGCAGTACCTGAAGTTGCCTCTGTGCTCCTCCCCGACGTCTCACCACTGAAGATGCTCGGCGTAGCAGGTGATGGAGTGTCCGAACTGGCCCTAGATCTACTACGCAGATTATAACGAGGGGGATCAGGGACACGAGAAGCAAACACGCCTCTCTCCAGGTCCTCAACCTCCCGACCACGTCTTGCCGCGTTCTCTGCCTCTAAGGCCTCTTCATCAATCAGAATCTCCATTCTAAGCACACTAGGTGCCCGCGTAGGCCGATAACGCATTTCCAAATCTGCCATCCGAGGGTTCGTCCTCACAACTATAATACCAATGTTAGGATCCCTAAATCTTTCTTCAGAAGGCCCAAGCAAATCTGCCAATGCATGTGCACTGTTTCGGATCTGCTCTCGCGACATTTGAGGCGGTTCGGGCGTACTGGCACGCGCGGGAGCCAGTGAAGTGACATTGGCGTCGCTGTCCCCACCCGACGAAGACCGCCTCGCAGCCCGGGATAATCTCTCGGGGCTTGGGAACATGTCGTCAGCAGACCAGAGATTACCCTTATATTGTGAGCCTTCTGAGACTGCCATGGACCGTTTGCGAAGTCGTCGTGAGGGCGGCGGGGGCATGCTCTCTCTATCCGCCAAGAACCACTCAGCAGGCGTCGGAAGGTCTGGGCTATCGTCAACTACTTCGACGTGCTCTGTCATCTGGCCTTCTTCCCCTACAGTTGGAAGTGTATCTTCCGCTGAGCAGCGTGGCACCGGAGGCTCCGTGCCTTCTGAGATTGTGGTGGACCGAGGGCGTGGCTCTGAATCGGATAATGGCATGGGAACAGGCGCATCAATCTCCGGATCAGACCAACGCCTATATCCCGGAGCGCCATCCAACGGATTGCGGATAAGCCTCCCATCTCGCTGCAATATCCATGTTGAAGGCGATTCTCGTTCTGAAGCATCTAGAAATGGTGAGTCGCGGATAGACTGTCTCTTGGCTGGGCGTCTCTTTAGGGATGACTTATTGGGAGCTGGTCTCTTACGGCTGGGTCCTGGACCAAGATTTTCTTGGGCTGAATTTTCCTCAGCCATAGCATTTTGAGTGGTAGTCTCCTCACGCGTGGCCTCTTTAGGTGCAGACTTTTCAGACTTGGTATCTTCAGGCGCAGCCTCTTTCTTTGCAGGTGTTTCAGCCGTGGCATCTTCAAGCGCGGCCTCTTTCGGTGCAGACTTTCCAGACGTGGTATCTTCAGGCGCAGTCTCTTTAGGTGTGGATTTTTCAGAGATCAAATCTTCAGGCGCGGCCTCTTTAGGTGCAGGTGTTTCAGCCGTGGCATCTTCAGGCGCGGCCTCTTTCGCTGCAGACTTTTCAGACGTGGCATCTTCCGGTGTAGCCTCTACTGAAGTGCTCTCTTTGGGGGCTGATTCAGAAATGGGAGTTTCTTCAAGATCAAGGTCTGGAGTAGTTGCATCCCGGACAATCGCAGCTGGGGCGATGAGTGCCTGGGCGATGGACTCTTCCGCAGTAGTCTCTTGAGAAGTGGCCTCGAGTTTGCGTATCTCTTCGGGGACCCCTTCTTGAGCTGTCTCTTGTAATATGTTGTCCTCTTGTTCTGCTAGGTCGGATACTGCCTCCTCAGTGGATTTGACAGTGGGGTAGCTGTCTTGCAGTGGCATAGCCTCATCAAAATCACTTGTCGGGGCGTTTTCAGTAACCACACTTGGCCCTGGGCTATCATCAATCGACTTTAACGCGGCCTCTCCTGCTTTACCCCCCATCCTGGTGGTATTTTGCTCCGCCATTGCGGCTCGCCATTCTGCAAGCCGTATTTTGGCCAGCCTTGACTTCTCCTGCTTACGCCTCTCTCCGGCGTCTTCCTTGTCTGGCGACCGTGGAGCCAGACCAGGAGCCCCGTCATCGTTGCGCCCAGTAGGCGATTTCTCGTAGGCGCTATTAAAACTCTCGTTCCCTGTGTTGTTTTCCGGTGCAGCGAGATTGCCGCTGTCCACCAGCGACTGGAACATGGTCTCTCCCGCCTCATCTCCCATCTTGGAAGTATCTCGCCCCGCCCTTGCCGCGCGGAACTTCGCAATTCGTATTCTTGCTAGCCTCGCCTTCTCCTGCTTAAGCTCGGCTTCCTTCTTTCTCTGATCATCCAGTCGATTCATCATCTTGCCAGCCAACATAAATGCTGGCTCGTAAACCCTCTCTGATTCGTGGCTTGGTTCTTTCGTATTGAGGCTAATTGATGGGAGCTTCTCACTCATAATCCGCGCTTTAAAAGTCAGTGCGCCAATTTCCGCTGCCCATTTCCTGCGATGCCGCTCGATAATTGTGCAATGCTCTAAAGTCTCTATTGTCTCGAGTTCCTGCTGCTTTCGCGACTTCTCTTGGCGTTCGTGCTCAGAGCCGCTCTCACCACTCTCATCAAAGTCATCGTTGCCCCAATGTGCAGACACCACGCCCTCCATTGCCTCACCTCCCTCGACATCTCCTACCTCAACCACTGGCTTTCCCTTCCCCTTCCTTCTCACTCCTCCTCCCTCGTGACACCCCTCAGGACACTGTGTCCCGCACACATGCCGCTTAATTATCACAAACTCCGGTGTCAACTGCATTTCGGGTAGAACTCCCTCCACCTCTGCCCCTGGAAAATGTTGTCGTGGCACCATAGCGCCCCATTTAATCGACGGATTTCGCACAGCCATTGTCTGCACACCCCCGAACGCATCTCTCAGAGGGTCTTGCCTACGGGGCGGAACAGGCATCATATTCATATATCCGAACTCCTGAAAACGAATAGCTTGATCCAGCTCTTCCTCGATATTTCCTGGCCCAAAGATCGAACTAGTCGGCACCACGTCTGTGAGCGTGCTGCCGTCCTTCCAAGGTGGCACGATGATCCGCGGAGCATGTGCAGGTGGCGGTCCATGATGGTCGATGCCTAGCCGTATCATCTCTTGTTCTTCGAGCACCTGCCGCTTCAAGGCGCGCTTGGCTCCAGGGTAGCTGGCGAGAGCGGCGCGGGCTTCGAGGAGGTGGTTGCGCGCCCAGTTTACGCCTGGGTCGCTGTCGTCGAAGCTGACATCGTCGCTGATGTCACTGATGTCGGTGCTGAAGTCAGCGCTGGCATCATCGCCAGGGTCAGAGGGAGGTTCGTAAGGCGGAGGTTCGTAAGGCGGCGGCGGGTCCAAATCCATTTGGAGCTGGGATATTCACGTGGCCGTGGTGTCGCAGATAACGTGTCGGGACGATGTGGATCAGAAAAGTAGGATTGCTCTGGAGGGCCAAAGGTACAGGTTCCGTGTGCTCCATCATTATTGAAGGGAGTCATCGCCATTTAGTTATGGAACGTGCAGGTAGCGCACCTCCAACCGCAGCTGCCCATCGTAAGGAATACGAAAGTATGTAGTTGTAGCAATATTAGCCACATAATGAAGGAGCCACCCACTAAGCACCACCTTCCAACTTTCCAGCGCCCCTCCCAACCTTATGAGCAAGTTGCAAAGCATACATACATACTATGGCCCTAACCCAAGCAAAACAATCATAAATTCTTATTCTAAAGTAGGGTATCTCAATCTCACTCTCCTCATCCCTCCTTCCCAAGGGCCGCTAAAAACAACCGGATATCACATACAAGAAATGACGAGACAAATTCAGGCTCTGACGCACATCCCCTCCATCCCTGTCACCAAGTCCACATCCTCGACCTCACTCTTCACTTGGCCTCCCTTCAAGAGGGAGTATACCGACAACCCCACCTCATCCATCTTCTCCTTGTCACCTAGCACTTGCACCTCCTCCACTTCAACCATAGTCTCATCATCTTCCTCATCCCTCGCCTCCACTCCACTCGCCCCCGGAAATTCCACGACCCTTGCCCCCAACGTTCCCCTAATATCCTCAAACATGACTTCCATCGGGCAAAAATACCCCACCTTCCTCTTATCACTCCACGCAAGCACATGCCCACACGCACCACCCTCAGCAAGGACCCACGCTCCGCTATCCCCCGGCACCCCTAGCCCGCCCTCGACCGTGAAACTCTGGCTGGGCGTTTGCCTTCCCCGCAACTTCACCGTCGTCACAGCGCGCTGGATCCGCCCTTGCGTCACGCCTGACGTCCGCGCCACCGCGCGCACGGGCAGGCCACCCAGATGCGCAGTGGGGATGAGCGCACCGGGCCACCCCGCCGGCGCGCCCGCTACCTTGTTCCCCCCCGGTGCTCGGCCGGGGGAGAAGCGAAAAAGAGCCCAGTCGATCTCGTGTGTGAGGCCGAGGCTGCAAGCGCGGCGGCGCAGGCCGGATGAGGCGTGCAGCGAACCGAGAGTATAGGAGTCGAGGTAGTCTTGTGTCATTGTTTCGGCAGAGGGGAAGATGCGGGGATCGACGTCGTCGAGGGCGGGCTGGGTGACCAGGTAACCCCCCGCGCAGTCGGGTGCAATACCGCCGATGTCTCCTGGCTCGAGGAACGAGGATGCGTCGCTTAATATGCTAGAGGCGATGGAAGAAGTCTCGGAATCGCAGTCTGAAAGCTCGTAGCCTAGGGCTTCGAGAGCCTCGGTGGTAAGTGGTGCGGGCCCGGGTCCATGGTCAGAAGATCGGATGGTGGGGATAGTGGGGATGGAGTAATCGTCATCTTCGTCTTCAGAGTCGCTTGGGACATCGAGCATGTGGTGCACGGTCAAGCCAAAAGGCTCGCCGTCGACCATAACTAAACCACCAAAGGAGACAGGCATTAAAGCCTGACCCTCGGCGAAAGCGCCGATCGAGGCTCCATTCACTGGGCGCTCTTGGTGATGCGAGTTCTTGGGCTCGACGTAATCTTGGTCGCGTGCCATGGATCGTTTTGGCGCACGCTTACGTGACCGCATGACCTTACCACGGCACACCATCAACCCGTAGGTAGCGGAGTCATAGGAGAAGTGGCGCTTGAGGATGCTCTTTACTTTTGCAACACTGGTGCAGACGACGAGGATAGTTGGCTTGGCTTTCAGCGGCGTCTCGCCAATGATCTCGAGGCTAATCTCGACGGACTCGGGGTACTTCCGGTAGAATCCTCGGAGAGCGTGGTTAATCTGCGGCATCAATGTGTCGTGCCAGCGATCGAGGTGTTCCTGGATAATCTCGCTGCTTGGGAATCTCCTCGACTTCGGCTTTGGTCTGACGGTGGGGTCTTCGATTTGTACTGCAATTTATTAGAAAAGCGCGTTAAGTCTGACACCGAGACCACTCACCCATCGGGGACTTCTCGGAAATAGGCTCGGACTTAATATGAAGACTCTGTATCATCTGATTTATCTCGATATCCTCCGCTTTCATCTGCTCTTCTTTGCTTGGGCGCCTCGGCGGCGGCGGCGGTGGCGGCAGTGGCTTCTCCCGTCCAAGATTCCTCGACAATGAGAGACTAGACGAGGACGGAGATGACCATTTTTCAGACTTGGATATCTCAGGTGTGGCACTAACTGACAGCGATGAGGTGACCTAGCCGGGGGGTTAGTTACGAGCACCACATGCAATTATTGAACGGCACTCACCAGTAACTCGTCTCCAATGTCCTCATCTTCCTCGTCTTCAATAGCACAACACTTCTCCAACGAACTCAACACTCTTCCATAAACTTTCTGGAGCACCACATCTGGGCGAGTAACCGCACTTATCTCATCGTCAACAGCACCCCAACACGCTTGTACTGCACGCAGGTACGCAGTGCCACAGCGCGCCGCAAGCTGCTTGTTCACCTCTTCAGTCTCGACCTTGATATCCAGCGCAATACCAATCCCAGCAACGCCGTGGCGGATATCGCGCGACACGGTCCACAGCCCGATTTCCACCAACAGCATGGCGAGACTGTATAGGTCCAACGACCGCGACTCCGGCGTCAGGGGTGTGTGCGGGGTCAGTCGCGGGTCCAGCTCATGGCGGTACCACGCAACTTCGGCGGCATTAGCAGCGTCGGATGGCCGCCCCGGCTCTGGGAAGAGGTCATACGCAGTAAGATATGGCCGGCGCGCGTTGACGGCAGGGTGGACCCATTCGCCGTCAGGGCGTGGTTTTATCTGCTCGAAGAACGCGATGTTGCACGCCGCGAGGTTGCCATGCACAACACCCTTGGAGTGCAGGTCGAAGACACTCGTCGCTAGGTTGTATGCTAGCCGGTACCGGACCTCGAGCGGGGGCTCCTGAGCACGCATCTGCAGCATATCTGCGAGTCGGGTGTAGAAAGGACGAGATACGACGGAGTTGGACAGAGTCGTGGTGGGAAAACGCGCAGGCAGCTCGTACACGAGGCCGAATCGTGAGTTTTCTTCTTCAAAGTACCCGATTAGGTTCAACACGCCGAACTCCGGTCGCCCAGCCTCCTCGTTCCGTCTCTGCAGGCCGGCGAAGAGCTTCTCGAAGCGGGTCATCGATGGTGAGATGCCGGTTATCGAGTAGATAGGGTCGTATGAGGCAAACTCGAGCATTACGGGGAAGCACACTTCCTCGGATTCTGACGCCCAGGGCCTCATTGGAGCCTGCTTCGTCATATAGAGAATGGTTCTCTTGCCCATGTCCAGCACTTTCGGTAGACTATTACCGTCGGATTGCAGCGCAACGCCCGCGCCAACCCATCCCTTCAACTCCCTCGGATCAATCACCCTCGGTGCATCCATCCGTGTCTTCTCAAAGGCCCTCTCCTCCTCAATCACCATCTCGATCTTCCTTCCCTTCTTTGGCGGTTCACTCTGCCGCGCCCGCGAAATATCATAGAGCGTATCAATCGAGCTGGTCAGGTCGCGCACCAGGTCCTCAAAGCGCCCTTTATCCCACACCACGCCGCCCTTCTCCATCGGCGCCTTCTCCGCCCGCCCAGATGCCGCCCATAGTGGCTCAGCTTCCGCCAGCACTGCATTGATCGTTGCCATCACGCTCCCTGCGACATCCGCCAGACCCGCCGATGCGAGTGCCTCATCGATGTCCGCATCTTCTGGGGAGTCCGTACGGCTCGCTTCGCTCCACCGCAGACCCCATGTTGTAAGGCGGTCTTTCTGAATGCGCAGTTTGCGGTGTAGGTTGCTCAATTCGGCGTCCTCGGCGCGCGCGGGGTCGGCAACGAATGCGAGCGATGATTTGGTGTCCGTATACATCTTTGTGAGGCGCCGCTGCAAAGGCAGCGCAAATGGTAGGAGAGACATCGTAGAGTGCGGGGTGTAATTTGTGAGAGATTCCCGATGGTAGCTGGATTTGAAGGGGATCGTGCTCTATAAAGTCGTGCCCATGTCGTTGTAATCGCTGTAGGTGCTTTTAATATATGGTATATCGATGTTTGCAACCGACATTACCGTCGTTGGCGACGCTGTGGTGATATAGGTCGTCCTTAATCTGTCTACCTAGCCGCCCAGCCCTCACGTCTCCAGAGTGACGTTCAACGTGCCACAGGGATGTCCCAAATGCATCTGCCTGGAGTTGTCGTTGGTGTCTGCCTGGCCTTGTGATTGGTTCGTTAACTCGGATACGCCGCATTTCCAACCCCTGTTGCCTAAAAGCTGCTCAGCCTTGTCAGCCTCGTAGCGTGGGCGTCGTTGCACGTGATGATGCCAACATTATGGCCGATTTGTATTATATTTAGATGCTTCTAATAATAAAGAGAAAATTTGAGAAAATCTGCTGTTTAAACGGATATGAAATCTGGTGGCACCAGGGGAGTCGATATTTAAACTAAACGGTATACGATCTACAAACCCAGCCAAAGCAGCAGGTGCTATTATCGTAGACAATGAATATAGGAAGGGAAAGGGAAAATTAGTCTGGGAGCATGGCGAGCAAAAAAACTCATTGGCTCATGACTCGGCTTGAGTTTCTCACACTGTCTGGGAGTATAGCTAGAGCTTGAAATGGCATCGATCGCCTTGCATTAGTCTACAGAAGGATTAGTCCCGACAGGAACCGACAACAAGAACAACCCTCAGCAGATTAACTGACAGATGGCTAACAGTAAAATTGATTCTGACGGCAGGGTTATTTATCGAGGGAGCCATAAGCTTCTTGAGAACCGAATCCAACGTCTCCCATCACATATTCAGTTTTACCAATCGATAAGCTCTTGGTTCCGGCATAGCTCGACAAGATTCTACGCATCTTCGCTCCCGATTCCTACATGCCAACATGGGAATCAGTTTACTGGTGGTATTATCGTAGCATTGGGCCGGGTACTACCATAGAAACTTAAATTCTTACATTCTAGTAATCATTCCAATCCCCTTTCTATTCTAATATTTGTCTATTCCAACATCTAATCAAATCACCCCCAGCCCCTATCTCAAACAAGCTGGGGGGGCTACGCCTTGGCCTTCTACCTCGCACCTCCCACTCCCTCCCCCAGCCACCAAAGTGTCCCTGCAACAAGATGCAAGCTTCCCGTAACCAGTACATCCACCCCCGCCCCAGGCTCTCCAATTCTCTTCGCTAAATTCAGCGCCTCGGCCAACTGCAATTCAAATCGCACCTCCGCATTTGGATGCAGCTCTTTCCATACCCGCTCATATACATCCAGGGATGGAAGCGTTGTTGTGGCCACTTGCTGATCTGCCATGCGGTTAGCGTGCGTTTCCTGGAGAAGAAAAAGGGGGTCTTACCTAAAGACATAGAGGCCGAGAAAGTCTGATCCGGATCGTAGGTCGTGAAAATGACGAGCTGCACACCACTCCCCTTCAACGACTCAGCCAGACATCTGAACACAGCCTCTGTGTCCCTGCTGTCCGAGATCTGGCTGAACACCAAGACTCGCGCTCTATCCCCTTCTTCCAGCCCATCCACAAACCACCGCCCCGCAACACCAATACTCATCTCATTATGCGCCCCATCACACCACCACCTCTCCCTCCCCCCACCCCTCTCAACAACTTGAAACCGTCCCGGCCACTTAAACCCCTCAACCCCTCTTCTCACACTCTCCTCGCTCAACACTTCCCCCCTCATCCTCTCCAAAAACGCCCGCACAGCCACAACAGCAACCGCGCAATTCCCCATTTGTACATCCGGCTTGACACCTTGCACCCCCGGCTCCTCAGTCCCCGTTACAACCTTCACATCCCCGCCAAACACCCCCCTCTCCTCCGCCCTCGCCCTCAATACCTCCTCCAGACCCTCCTCCTGTGCAGACGAAATAGCAACCGCGCCGGACTTCAAGATTCCCGCTTTGTGCCACGCAATATCCTTCATCCCCGGTCCAAGCTGCTTCACATGATCACGCCCCAGCGGCGTGACAACGGTCACCACGGGCTTCTCCACGAAATTCGTAGCATCGTACTCGCCCCCATGATGCGTCTCAAGGACTACAGCCCCAACGCCCTCTTTGATAAACGCATGCAGAGCTACAAGAACACATAGCTGGAGATACCGCGGCCTTTCCCCTTTCTGGCTTTCCGTAGCCGTGTCCCCGTCGAAGAGACGCTCCCAAACTTCGAAGAAGTACTTTGCGAATCCGCGCTCATCGATTGCCGTGCCGCTGATCCGGACACGCTCTTGTGGCACAAGGAGGTGCGGAGAGGTATACATCCCCACACTCCGTGGCCACCCGGTCGCAGCTCCATGAGCGAGGAGGAGCGCTTCGATGTATGCGCATGTACTTCCTTTCCCCTTGGTGCCGGCGACGTGGATGATATTCAGAGCCGCAACGTCTGCGGGAGAATGCCCCAACTCCTCCATCCAGCCGCTCATCCCCACTATCCCAGGCTTGCCCCTCAATGCCTCACCACCGACCCTGAACTCTGGCTTTAGCCCCGCATCGCGTGCTGCATCCTTTGCCAATGCACCGCTGGGTCTGCGCACTCGCCGGCGGGTATCCAGCAGGGCTATCGCATCCTGGGGTTATGTTAGATTGTGTTGCGCCATGTTGATAGATAGGCGGCATACGCACCTCATAACTCCCCCCCATAACTCGTCGCCCAATCCCCCTCCGCCCTCCCGCAACGGCGCTCAAAAACCCGCGCACCGCGAACCTTTGATAACCCCCCGCCAAATCCCGTGCCCAAAAAACAAAGGCACCGGGAAACAACAAAGAGTGTAAGTGTATGTAGCTTAACGCATTGGTGAATGCGTGTGTTTTATATCATCCCCATCGTGTGATTTGTCCTGTCCTGTCCTGTACAGTTTGAGGTACGATATTAGACTGAGTGGGGGTAATTACCGCAGTTGTGGTTGGGGGTCCAGAGAGGGACGCGATACTGCCGCCTGAATATGGAAGGCGGTCAGGTCTAGCAGGTTTATTTTGCGTGAGAGGTGGTCCCGGGCCGTGTTGTTCCGGTTTGGCGCATATCATATCAGTGCTACTAAGATATGCGCCAAAACCCAAAATACTATTAGAATTTACATGTAGAACCACAAAATTTCAATAGTATTTATTATATGTCTTTTTGCGCATATTCGCCCATAGCATGCGCACAAATCGGAACGCGGTCAAACTTTGTTCAAATTTTTCCACTTCCGGTTTCGCGCATAGCTGTGTTGGATATGCGCCAAACCCCCAAAACATTACTGGCATCAACGTGCAAGACCACAAAATACCTATACTATTCTACGCGTATTTGCGCATATCTGCCCATGACATGCGCACAAACCGGAACGCGGTCGAACTCTGTTCCGGTTCTTCCGCTTCCGGTTTTGCGCACATCAGTGGTGGATGTGCGCAAAAACTAAGGACGCCTCTAGCATCAATGGGGGAGACGGCAAAACCCCCGTACTATTATAATCAGATATATGTAGAATATATCAGGTATACCACAATACCCCCTCCGGTGTAATAGACTTCAAAATCCCCTAGGAAATACAACTATACAGTTCCACGGGGTTTTCAGATATCTCCCCCCTGAGAGACGAGAGGGGCGCTCTCATACAACCATTGTATTGTTTTTAGTAACCGGTGTTCGGTAGGAGAGGTGTCTTTGCCACCAGGAGCTTCGACAAAAAATATAACCAATGACAGCTATGGGTTCACGATCATGTAGATATGAATATAATACAAATTAATATAATCTCAATCGCGAGGTATGCTCCTCCTCCCATATCCATTTCCAACAACTCTCCTTCTCTCCGTCTCCTTCCCTCCGTCTCCTTCTCTCCGTCTC